CGTTGGATAATGTGATGCTCTGTGTAATAAAGAACAACTGGAAGACATCATGAGAAATTTCCACTTGACTTGAAATAAATAAACATGATCACTGCTTCTTTGAGGTCAAGAATGAAGAATGAAGAATTTATTGTACAGACCACCCTCGTAGAGCAGGGTACAAACCATCTACATATGGTAATAAATATAATTCTAGACATTACACACATTGTATATATAGAGATATTACATGTCATTTTTATTCACTATAGTTGTAGTAAAGATTTAACGTTGTATCTAAACGTCTATAAGATATGTCCTTTTTTATAAATGTAGGAAGGAAATTTCAGTTTAATGTCAATTAGGAAACTGAAGGTGGTGGATCAGCTGTTTTTAAAACTTTCAGTCAAGTTCTTGTTGCTTTTAACTGCATCATCGTTCACAGAACATCAGTGGTCAAGCTCGCTGACTTAGTTGATGCATGCGAGGATCGATGTTCATGACGTCAATCACTGGATTCGTATCCCAATTGCGTGGATCGTTGCTCATGACGTCAATCACTGGATTTGTGGCCCAACTGCGTGGATTGATGCTCATGACGTCAATCACTGGATTCGTATCCCAATTGAGTGGATCGATGCTCATGACGTCAATCACTGGATTTGCATCCCAATTGCGTGACTCAATGCTCATGATGTCAATCACTGGATTCGCATCCCAATTGCGTGACTCAATGCTCATGATGTCAATCACTGGATTCGCATCCCAATTGCGTGGATCGATGATCATGACGTCAAGCTCAGGATTGGCTGGTCCACACTGGATTAATTACAGATCGCCATCATATAGCTGGAATATTAATGAGTGCGGCGTTAAACAACAAACAAACAAGCAAACAAATCACATTACATCATGATATTGCAGTGGCTCACGATGATAAGATGCCTCTGCATTCTTTCAAATTTCCATATTGGAAAAAAAATTGAAGCTTCAAGTGTAATGATTGACTTACTTGTGATAATTCAATTCATACTATTTGTTTGGTTTTAAATTTAATGATTAAGTACAAATCATCTGCCCATTAAGACAATTCAAAGTCATGATATTGAATTATATGCACAATTTGCTGACTGGAGACATTTAACTGTCGTTGTTAAACAGGAAACAGCTGAAAAACTGCTTTACAGCATTAAGTTATTTACATTCCACCTACGCTGCAGCAGAATTGACTTTCTAGTGACAACAGTGTCAGCTTAAAAACAGGCTCACCTGTTCTGCACATCTAAACTTTGATAAAATGACTAGCAACACATCCTTAGTGAGTCAGTGGCTGCCAAGCTACAGGAGATGAAGTTGAAGTAGGGCGAGATTTGTGGAGGGGGGTGATGTGCAAATAGGTGCACTTGGAGGAAGAGAGGGGGGGGGGGGGGGATGTTAGCTGATGTGCAAATAAATGCACTTGGAGGGAAGGGAGGGGGAGTTATGTTTGCTGATCAGATATTAGATATTGTGAGTGGGAGAGTCTATACAACATGTGCTCATTAGAGGGGAGTCATGTAGGTACATGAACCGAGGAGGGGTAGATGCATTTTGTAGGGGACGTAGCTATGAGGAATGGGGAGCAATATGAATATAGATGCACATTCGAGGGGGTCAGAGTCAATACATATACATGCTAAAGCTGCATGGAAATGGTTGAATGGGACTGTCTACATGCATATATAATGTGAAGGTTGAGGAATATCAATACCTCCATTTACCTTTAATAGAAGTTGATTTGGAGAGGGAGAAAACCTGTCGGCCTTGGTGTGTGATGGATTGATATTAATTGTGCTTTACTGCTGATCTACCTGTGTCAGTGGTTAAACAAGGGGAGGTGTGTGTTGATTGGGGGGGGGGTTCAGTACTTGCCTGTCAGCCCACACATCAGGGGGTGGGAGGAGGCACATGAGTAATATATCAAAAGTGGAACAGACTATCCATGTCACCCGTCTAGCATTTCAACTTCCTCAGCAAATATCGCCTCTTTTATTGCGTGTAGGTGGTGGAAATTTACTTTTACCATCCACACGCAGCCCTTTCTATTGCTTGTTATTCTTTAAGGGAAAACATATTTGTACACTTCATGGGAAAAGAGTTTATATTGTTCTGAACATGTAACTAGGCATGCTAGGGAGCCATTCAAGATTGTTATTGAGGTTGACGTTTTGCTAATTATATCTGTGGTATTACATCAAAAGTATTGTCACTCCGAGAGTTTTCTTGGGTGATTCAATCCTGTCAACATCACACCAAAAAACTTTAAAAGATTGTGGTGGTGTTACTCTGACTGGCGCTCGGCATTAACATGATTAAGGGGATAACCGAAGGACTGGTCGGCTCGGAGTCAGTATAAGGTGTCTGAGTGAGGTAGCCATGTTAAACTGTGGCATGGTATCTCAGTGGCAAAGAACTATAAAACCGGTATAAATCCAGACTAGTACATGCAGCCACAAAATCACTGACATATACGTGTTGTAAATTAATTCAGACATAATTTGAATATGTTCGTTTTATTGTTAATTTATATTGGTTCATAATATTTTCACTTTTAATGTTGTCATTTCACTCAGAAAAAAATAGAATAAATAAAATAAATACTCAGTACTGAAGAAATGACTTTATGTCATTTAATTGGGATTTGATTTTGTGTCAATTTTTATCATAGGTTTGTTTTGAATTATGTAGTACATTCAGATTGCACGTTTTATGGTTATTTAAAAAAGTAAAAATAATACAATATTGATCTACAACTGAAGTAATATTTTCTCTTACATAATTTCAATTTTTTTCAATACACATCATTTAGTTTCATGTTAGCCTTTAAACTAAGCCCGTGGTTCAAATTTGAAACAAAACAAGCAACTGTTTGTGGTTCTGATGAGGCTATGTATACTCACCTTGATAACGTGTGTGTGGCGTCATTTACCATCTAACCGAGGTATTTGCACTTTCTATTTAAAAATAGCTTAAGATTTTAGTTTTTGTCATATTTAAACACAGAACAGTTTGAGGATGAATGTTCCATTAGCCTCAGCCAAACAGTGGAATGCTGTGGTCACGATTTCTTGTGGCCAACATTTGTGTTATTATTTGTGGGAGGTTATGCTATGTAGGCCGATGAGTAAAAGGTTTTTCTCCAGCTGGGTTATCAGCACCGGGTAACAAAAGGTTGAACAATGTAATGTAGGCGGATCTTATCCGTGATGATTTCCTACTTACCACTGTGTAGGTTGTGTGTGAAATGTCAAGGTGCCAAGACCATGGCAGGGTCTGTTACCTTACGTTGTAATGCATTCGTCATTATTGTGAATAAGAACATTCAAATATTCAATTTCTTTCTTTTCTGAAAGTATTTTAGTTATCAATAAAAAATTAAAAAATATGGAGATAGCGTGTGTTTAACACCACAGTTAATAGTCCAGCTATGTCATGTCAGCCTAATAAGGCTGACTATTATCCTGATAAACCTGTGGTTATTATTATGAACACAATGACAGTCACAGATATAATTTAGTCCCTTCTTATGACAATGAAGTAAATGAAAGTGAAATGAGAAGAGGAATCTGATTGGTCGATAGGAGGGACATAGAAGGGACATAACTTGTAATAGCCACTGCTGGCTCTTCTATTGAGACCAGAAATTCCAGCCTAGTTTGACAAGGGCGGAAACTGGACTTTTACAGTCAGTTAACTCTCTTGCCTGGGGAAGATGCATATAGGTGGAATATTGCTGAACATCCCTTATAGTCTTTGCCCAGTGATGTAGTTGCAATGTTTGTGTGTTGGGGGCACGTGTCAGCTTAGTCATTCTTACAGTATCTGAACCATATTATTTTCCCTACTGCCTAACCCTAACTGTAGTGCTATGGCCCTAAATGAAGCAAGTCTAGATGTCACTGGAGAATGTAGTTGCTTGTTTTTGTCAAAATTATGTATTTTCTAAAATTGAGGGTTCATCTACTGTGAGCTGTATGCCTCCACCTTCTTCTCCATCTTTCCTAAAAATGTGGATGTTGTACAAACACTCTTCTAAAATCCTCTTGGTCTTGTCATAACTTGCCAGTCATAATTAAGACATGTTTACCCTCCCAGATTTGATTCCCAGCACTGAGTGTACATATTACGCTGTTTGCAAACAAATGATGAGCAGTCATTAATCTGTGATGCACCTAAGAGCCCTTCAATGTAACAATTCATTAAACAGGATGTTTTTTACCTGACTCCTGTGTTCTGTACACACTAAACCTTATAGATTGTAGGCGTCCATGGGAAACAGGTGCTTGTTGGGTTGTAGGTATTGGTTAGTCAAACATAACAGAATCAACACAATGTCATTTAAGAAGTGAAGATTTTTCTTCTTGAGGACATAAAGACTCAATTGAAATAATATTTATTGTTCAAGGAACTATATACTCTACTATCTGGTGCTCTTTTTTTTAGTATAGGTAAAGACACTTTGTGAAATCGTGGCATTCTCTCTGTGTACTTGGTTGATCATTAACCGATAGATTGATAAGTATTGTAAAATTTGAGCTAGCAGACAAAAAGTGGGTTAGGAATGTCTTTGCTGTGACTGTCCATTGGTTTGTGCCTTGTTTGTTATTGGTGACTTCAGCAGAACCAACCAGATGAGTTGAAAGTTATGAAACAAACTGAATTCAGGAGACATATTTGTGCAGATGCTTCTTTAACTACTTATAGAAAATACTGCTTGGGATTTTTTTCACAAACGTCTCTCCTGCGGAAGAGTCTGTTTGCTTAAATTTAAAAAACAACAACCTTTGAAATAGATATGATTTCCTTTGCCTTGTGGATTACTAAAAAAGGATGCATGTTCAAAGAATATAATTGAGCACACTATATTGAATGAATGGAGCACTGCTTTGAATGCTGCAGTGTGACCAATACCTTACTCTATTTAGCACCCAGTGAATGTAGTATGTAACTGTTGACTAAACTTGGTGTATTGGTTGTTTCAGCAAAGAGCAAGAGGTGATGTCGATCCCAAACGATGTGGAGCTGGATGCCAAACTGGAGGAAACTGCAGATGTATAGGAGAAAAAGGCTCCAGGGTGAGTAGCTTATTGACATTAAGTTACCGTATTTGACATAATAAGTGCCCCGCTCTAATAAGCACCCACGGCAATATTTGCTAATATATTGGCTAGTGAACAATCTCATTTAGCACCCCTTCAGATTGATCAATGTACACAAGACTTATCTATTCGTGTATAATACGCACTCATGTGTCATATGCTTTCTTAATTATGGGCAATTTAATTCTGGAAAAATTTATCTGCCGTACATAAACATTTCAGGCTGTCAGAAATTGACGATATTTCAGGTCTGGTTTTGTCACGAAAAATGATGTTCTAATAAGAGCCCCCTATTTCTAATTTTGAGAGTGCCCTGGGCGCTTATGTCGAATATGGTAAATGCGCTCCAATGGAAGGCTTTTCTATTGGAATGCTGCTATTTTCATGAATAAAATACACTAAAGCCAGATCAAAATACTTTGTTGACGAAGGACTGCCTTCATTTTTTCACCTTTGATTCCAAAATTTCAAAAATGCTTTGTTTGAGTGGAATTATTAATCATAGAACTTTTTTGTTTTTATGCTGAATACATTTTATTTCATGAGTTTTAAGGTAATTAATATCAAGTCCAAACCTGAAGACATATGTTATTCTTCCCTCCCAGCACAGAGAATAAACCCCCCAGAAAGTATTTCTTGGCTTGGCCTTTCATTCATTATGCACAGATTCTGGTACAGCCTTACTGATGGCAAAGACAACCAGATAAGAAGTTACTGTGTTACAAATTTGAAGCAAAAGGCCTCAAGGGCTTTCACTTTCATTACATATACAGATGGTTGCTGGTACTTGATTCACTGTGAGAGGATTGTGGTGAAAAGCATGAATGTAAAGAAATATGTTGGTAACAAGATATGTGCCTTGTTCAAAATGTCAAGTTGTTTATAATCCTAAGAATGCTGTAAGTTTTTTTAATCCTTTGTCAACAAATTCACCTAATTAGGGTCAAAAGTGTTGTAATAGAAAATGAAGTGAACAATTTGTAATCGAAGGTACAAATAAGCCTGGCAATTGAAGGAAAACAAACAGTTGGCAAAAAATATTGCTGCCTGGAATCATTTAGGCACTTTTACAGAAAAGGTGGCAGATATATTCCCTGGTAAGAGGAACAAGATGGTGACATTTCTGAGGAATTATCTTTGTTTCAATGACTTTTCCTTAATATTTAGAACGGAAATTTGTATGAAATTGAAGTAAAAAAAAATTTCTGTTGCTACTTTTGGTGTTCATCTAGGCCCATCTTTGATGTAGGCTGTGATTAACATACCATCCGTAATGGCTGATATCGAAACTTGATTTATGGGCACTGATTTCAAAGATCTGACCTATGAAAATATTGGACATGATGGAGGGCATTCAGCATGTCATGTGAGACGATGCGCCCAGCAGCTGCTCAGTAGATACAGCCTCCCCTTTTCAGCATCTTTATCAGAGGGCAAGAACACAGGGGAACTTCTCAGTAATCTTCTCCCATGCTGCACAGAAAATCAAGAAGAAAAAAACATCCTTGGAAACAACACTTGACTTTAGCATTCATTTTGAGACACAGAGATCTGAACATGCCTTAATGCAGTCTTTTTGATTGATGGAGAGAATTACTTGAAGATCCTGAATGATATAAATTTCAGAAGCTAAACATTACTCACACTTGTTTATCAGTGAATGTAACACATCTAATATAGATTAAGGCTTTGGAAATATTGGTGCAAATAGCAACGCAATAAATGTTCACTAACACAACAAAACTCTCTCTCTCTTTCTCTCTCCCTCCCTCTCTCTCCCTCTCTCCCTCCCTCCCTCACTCTCTCTCTTTCTCCCTCCCTCCCTCCTTCCCTCCCTCTCTCTCTCTCTCTCTCTCTCCACATCTGTGCCCCTCACCACCTGTTACTACCCTTCTGAAAGAAGGATGGATGTGCAGTTGCTCTTGGTGATGTTTAACTGCTGCTGCTTCTTCAGTGTCTTGCTGAATGAAGGACATAAACTTTGCTGCACAGCTTGCACACAGGCTGCATCTTGTAAATGGGATGAATTAATTCTGCTGCCCAGATTTTACAGGATGCTTCTTATTTTGGGTGGGGTAGCTGTTAAAGCTCATCACATTGAAGGCCTGGATTTGATTCCCCAGATGGGTACAATGTGTAAAGCCCATTTCTGGAGTCCCTTGCCATCTTACTTGAATATTCAGAGTGTATTGCTGAAAGCAGGGCGAAACCATCTCACTCACTCACTCACACACTCTTCAACATACTGAGGGTTTCTGCTTGTCTTGAAGCCAGGTGAACCATCCCCTGCCTTGAGAGATGTGGGCAGTAATTACCCAGGGGGAGCGAGAACAGAATAAACACAGTAATCGCCAAACATCAGCTCCCTCCCTAGCCAAGCCACATGACAGTGTTTAGGCAGGGATACCACACATCCTCACAGCAACACATATAAATATGCCACTAATGGTGAGGAGGCCCCATGAGTCAGACTAGTTAGAGTAGCTTTACTAGAATATACTATTTTAGATATTCCTGCCCTGTCTGAACAAATGGATTCATGAGGAACACTTCCTGTTACAATGCCCTCTGTACAAAGACCTGAGACAGGAACTATATTCATCACCCACCTTGGCTATGCACACGATATCTCTAAGAATACTTTTAAATCCACCAGAGCCTTTTGCAAACATTATCACCAATTTCATTCACAAAATGTTCAGGCAAAGAAAAATCTTCTTCTTCTTCTTCTTCTTCTTCTTCTTCTAACCTTTTCAGATAAACCTAATATTTCAGTGTCATATGATAATATCCAAAAGATTCCTTCTGGTCCAAACATTTGAACACAATTGCAGAAGTATTCTTTCTTGCATGCTGAAGAATGCACTGATGATTGACTGATGCACATGCTAATGTTGGTCTAAGAATTCCCGCTGAGTAATGCCATCTTGTGACCTTTCAGAGTCGTCATAAAAACGTTGATTTGTGCAATTCTTCATTTTGGTTGAATACAGACATCTAGGCTTCAGTACCTGAAGTGCTTCTAATGGACTAGTTATTGCAGTGCCATGTTATGTGTCATGCAAATTAATGTCTTAATTTTACACAAACCTCTAGACCCCCCCCCCCCCCCCAAGCCACAACATCCACTTGATTAGTGGCTATGATAGCCAATGATATATTTTGGAATAGTGCTGACTGTAGTAAAACAAATAAGGAACTCCAATGTCTCTCTTCCACACATCAAGGTATCAGGCCCTGGCTCAGCACCAGAGTCCATTGTTCTGAAGCCAAAGAAGTGAAATCAAAGTAAAGCCCCCACAAAACTGCAAGGGTATTGATGTTGCCAGAGTTTTAGAACGTTGGAAGTCACCGTGACTATCAACTGAATGCCTGACTTGTTTTGGTGTATCTTTTGTAACTTCAAATTATGTGTAATAGCTTAGAGGCTACAAGTTGGTTATCATCAATTTCTTTCACCCCCGTGCACTAACTACTGTCCTTACCATGCCAGGAAACAACAGCCTTTTTTCTCTTGTTAAGATGTGACCTTAGATTGAGTCTAAATAAGTTCACTGCCTCTGTTTAACTCTCTCATCTATTCCTAAATTTAATTCATTCCCCTATCGTTCATTGGCTCCCATATTAATTGTTTTCTTAAGATCACATTCTTAATTTAAGTGTTTCTTGAAATTAAGTCCTTTGTTATTTGCTTGGAGGTTAACATCATGTTTCACTGGTTCTCAACATTGTCATGAGAATCTTTCATTGATGTTGAAAATCGAATACTTTGATTTCAATTTATTAGATCTAAAACTGTAAAATATCCTTTTACAAGTATTCCAAGGCTTAACAAATTGATAATGTCCTTATATGAATCATAGTAAGACCTGATTATTCATATGCCCTAAAAACTTCTCCAAACACCAACCTGAAGCTTTGATGTCCTGTGCCAGAACTGAAGCATGTGTTTATCTCACACCCAATTCTTGTGGTGATCCTCAATACACATTACCTCCTGACCAGGCCTGTATAGCACTTTACAATCATCGTCTCCAATTGCCCTGTTTCTCTGAACCACTGTCTATCAGGCATCAGATGCTTTGAGGATTTTCTCCATCATCAACTCTGCTGGTCCGTCTCTTCTGTGAAGCACAGTGTGTAACAGATCCACCCAGATGACCCACAACAAAAATAGAGATACAAAACAGCTGTTGAGTAACCTCTACGGCTTAATTTGTCTTCATTAACTTGATTAATGTCAAATCAGACTTGACTGTTTAATTGTAATTCCCTGGGACTTGTACCAGGTGACCTGTCTGGTGGTGCTTGAGGCAAATTTGGCCTGATGAGAAAAACAGAACATAATGTTAAAATAATTTCAAAGATATGCAACATTTACTAACAACCCTGTCTGAAGTATCAGAACATGTATTTAAAAGACTTACCAACACTGAGACCAGAACCTGGTCCTACAGTTAGGACGCTCATAACTTTCAACTCACTTGCTATGTTAATATTTGAACAAGTCACTGAGATTTAATAAAGGCAATGTGTCTCTTTAATGGCACCAATGGTAAGATTAGTCATAGATATGTCAGAGGGATTTGTTGCTGTGTGATATGACTGATGGTATTTCCTATGATAACTCACACAGACCGGATATTGTCTTGCCTTGCCGTTTCTTGTTATAACCACAGACAGGAAACACTGTACATTTATGCCCCTTCCCATGAGCTGGTGGCAGAGGAAATAGCTAACTATGATTTATGTACATTATTATTCTTGTATGTATCCACAGTAACATAGAAATTCTTTAATGACCTTGTATTGTTGCAGAAAGGAAATAAAGCCTTGTAATCATGAATCATATTTGTATTCAATTTCTTTGGGGAAGGAAGTTTGGGAGAATATTGCAATGATAAAAGTATAAATGTCACTGTGACTAATTAAACTTGCCTTTGCATGTGTTTGTGATGGGTGCAACTGTTGTGGCAGGATAAGCTCACCTTCTTTTCTTTCCAACAGCTGGTATCATATCTATAAAGCCTTTACTAGACTAGCATTTCTATGATCAACTTTACTATCATATCTATGAAGCCTTTACTAGACTAGCAATTCTAGGTTTGACTGAAGGATCGTATGTATGTTGACTTGAAATACTTACATTTCTCTACTTGATTGCAGGGTGCACCGGGAGCCATTGGACCATCTGGTCCCCAGGGTAACCAAGGCTTCCCTGGACCCGAAGGCCTTCCTGGTCCCAAGGGAATGAAAGGCGACATTGGCCCCAACGGCCCACTTGGAGAAAAGGGAGCCCGGGTAAGTGAAGTCCTTCAGATGTAATGGTCTTAAACCGTTGAAAGAAGAGTTGCCCTCAGAAAAGGTCCTCTATACCTCATGCTTGTCCAAAGTGTCGGCTAAAATAGGGATTGTGTGGTCAGGTTCTTTTGACTCTTGTGGAGCGTGTGTGCATGCTTTGCCTACACAAAATTACACTTTTAAAATTATGTTAGTGCTCTAACATGCAGTTTTTCAGTCTGACAGAATTCTTTCATATATTTGTTTTGTCAAGAGAATACATTATTCCAATGTCTTGCAACATTATGTATTGAGTCAGTGCATAAATTGTTTTAACCTTTTAGAAAATTGTTTTTAAAGAAGACATTACATATAGATCCAGACATGCGATGTCAGATCTTTGCAATTTTTATAGATGCTTCAATAAAGTTCAATTTTGCTGATAATCAGAATTTTAAACACAGGAATATTATGATATTGTGTCGGTTATAATTAATTGCAATCATGAAAAAACAAAAGGCAAAATAGACCATGCGGCAAAATGAAGTAATGTTTAATGGGTTAATCTTCTCTAAAAAAAGAGTATTTATCTCCCAAGAGTCTCCGACCAGTGAAGAATAATTCATCTGTAGGGCTGCTGAGTGCTGTACACAGACAGCCTGACAACCTCACTGACTATATGTCAGCATTCCATGGAACATACTGCCGCTTCTCTGGAATACTGTCCTTCTGTTACCATAGCAACCCCTGTACCCATTTGCTATTTGTTACAGTAATAATCTTGTTGTGTAAATATGTATACTCCACTATTGTAAACTGATTTGCCTATTTCAAAGGAAATGTTTTGTGAATGATGAAGTTTGGACTTGGCAGTTTTGTGTTTTATTCTATTCTTTTAATCTATGTTGGATTATAAGTGGTATTTAACTGAAGTATTTTCTGATTCAATTTTGAAATTTTTCAACAATCCGTATCTGGAGCAAACTTTTCATTCACGGGCAAATGGAATCTTTGCATGCTTGTAGAAACACATTTTAAGAGTTTATTTTGTCTACAAGCAGAGATTAAGGACATCTGGCTGCAGAGAAATTCACATCATAAGCATTTCAGCAATTGAATTTTATGATTTCTACCATGTAGACGGCTAAAATTGGATTGCAACATCTCTAGATGTGGTCTTAATGTACTGTCTCAAAAGTGTATACATTACTGAGATGTAAAATCCAGATTTTAATTTGATGTTATATACATTACAGTAATTTAAGACCAGGCAATGAGCGTTTCTTAAGATCCATCCCCACCAGAATACATAAACTAAAGAGAGCAGAGCCAGGGAAGTGGTGGATGGTTTAGCCAGGACTGGAACCACAGTATGAGGACTGGCAGCACCTGATATATTCCTCTACAGGATTATATATACCTCTGACCTACATCCCAGGGCACCACCCACGACTTTGTCTTGGAACACCAGTATAGTACAGGACTAGACTGGCTTCATGTCGCCTTTAGTGGGGAACAGCTAGGTACAGACAGCCTCAGATTGGCTTCATGTCACCATTAGTAGGGAACAGCTATAGGTACAGACAGCCTCAGATTGGCTTCATGTTGCCTTTAGTAGAGAACAGCTAGGTACAGACAGCCTAAGATTGGCTTCATGTCACCTTTGGTAGGGAACAGCCAGGTACAGACAGCCTCAGATTGGCTTCATGTCACCATTAGTAGGGAACAGCTATAGGTACAGACAGCCTCAGATTGGCTTCATGTTGCCTTTAGTAGAGAACAGCTAGGTACAGACAGCCTAAGATTGGCTTCATGTCACCTTTGGTAGGGAACAGCCAGGTACAGACAGCCTCAGATTGTCTTCATGTCACCTTTAGTAGGGAACAGCTAGGTACAGACAGCCTCAGATTGTCTTCATGTCACCTTTAGTAGGAAACAGCTAGGTACAGACAGCCTCAAATTTGCTTCATGTTGCCTTTAGTAGGGAACAGCTAGGTACAGACAGCCTCAGATTGTCTTCATGTCGCCTTTAGTAGGGAACAGCTAGGTACAGACAGCCTCAGATTGGCTTCATGTCACCTTTAGTAGGGAACAGCTAGGTACAGACAGCCTCAGATTGGCTTCATGTCACCTTTAGTAGGGAACAGCTAGGTACAGACAGCCTCAGATTGGCTTCATGTTGCCTTTAGTAGGGAACAGCTAGGTACAGACAGCCTCAGATTGGCTTCATGTTGCCTTTAGTAGGGAACAGCTAGGTACAGATAGCCTCAGATTGTCTTCATGTTGCCTTTAGTAGGGAACAGCTAGGTACAGACAGCCTCAGATTGGCTTCATGTCGCCTTTAGTATGGGAACAGCTAGGTACAGACAGCCTCAGATTGGCTTCATGTCACCTTTAGTAGGGAACAGCTAGGTACAGACAGCCTCAGATTGGCTTCATGTTGCCTTTAGTAGAGAACAGCTAGGTACAGACAGCCTCAGATTGGCTTCATGTTGCCTTTAGTATGGGAACAGCTAGGTACAGACAGCCTCAGATTGGCTTCATGTTGCCTTTAGTAGAGAACAGCTAGGTACAGACAGCCTCAGATTGTCTTCATGTCGCCTTTAGTAGGGAACAGCTAGGTACAGACAGCCTCAGATTGGCTTCATGTCACCTTTAGTAGGGAACAGCTAGGTACAGACAGCCTCAGATTGTCTTCATGTTGCCTTTAGTAGGGAACAGCTAGGTACAGACAGCCTCAGATTGGCTTCATGTTGCCTTTAGTAGGGAACAGCTAGGTACAGATAGCCTCAGATTGTCTTCATGTTGCCTTTAGTAGGGAACAGCTAGGTACAGACAGCCTCAGATTGGCTTCATGTCGCCTTTAGTATGGGAACAGCTAGGTACAGACAGCCTCAGATTGGCTTCATGTTGCCTTAAATCATTTTTATTTTGAAGAATAATTATAGGTAATAGAAAAAGCAGGGTTTTGATGCAAAAATGTTTGTTCATGAGACACTTTGTAGGGATGGAATAAAAGGATTTTCATCGGTTGAAATAAATTGATGATAATTTGTTGCCAAGACTCTAGGAGCAGTACCTCATGTATTGTGTCTTTCTTTCCCCAAGCATCTAAGTATTAAAGCCTAATGGTGTAACCACCTCCACTTCTACAGACAGTGATGTTCTGGCTATAGTTCTGGCTTTGACTCTTTGGAGTAGAGATGTCTGGTCTCTAGGACCATTGGTGCCTTCCGTGCCCTTGCACTGCAGACATGAGAGAACCCCCACTGACTCACCCAGTACCTCTAGGAAATGCCAGTGTGGCCAGTCACTGACCTCGAGAGTCTGACATGGCATTCTGTGATGTGATCAAATGGTAACAGTAAAGTTGAAACAGGTTATCCATGATCAAGGTGTTGATAGGAGTTTTAAAATTATCATGAAATTTTGTTTTTCTGTACTTATGGTATTAGAAGTTAAATAAGTCGATTAACCATTACATATAAAATTACTGCTTCCAATAAATGAGGGGCGGTTGGGGAGCCTAGTGGTAAAAAAAGCGTTCGCTCGTCACGCCAAAGACCTAGGTTCGATTCCCGACATGGGTAGATTGTGTGAAGCCCATTTCTGGTGTCCCCCGCAGTGATATTGCTGGAATATTACTAAAAGCGGCGTAAAACCATACTCACTCACTCACTTAATAAATAATGACTGTAAACATTGAAATGAATTAGTCAGATGATGAGTTTTCCCAATTGCAAAATAATGTTTTCTTCACTAGATGTATTTTAATAACTGTAATATCAACGATTTGGTCAAAGAACCTACTAGGAGGTTAATTCTATCGCACTTACCGGTACTCTTTGACTCTCCCATTCAGACAATTAGGAAGATGTCAGCTGGATATTTATATTCAGTCAAATGATTATACTCTGAAGATTTAAAACATTTAGGATAGCATAACTTTTTCATATATATATACATAAACCTGTAAATATCTCCATAGAAAGGACTAATGTAAAATATACCCAAGGATTCATAAATGAAATAGAATTTGATAACTTTGGCCATCTCCCATTTTGCCCCTCCATCTGAACAGCCCTGCAGCTGTTGAGTGGGCAATGTGTGTAGACTATAGACAAAGAGAGTGGTTCATCTGTTGTAAAATAAAGAGTAAACAAAGCTCCTAGACAGCCATTTACTGTATGGAATTTTGCCAAATCAGTAGCTCTAGCTGAACAACCCCCTCTATCCCTCATTTCAAACTTATCTTCTGGGATCATGGTGCTCTGACTTGCAGGGTGTACTAAGTTTCCCCAGTTAGGCTTACATCAAAAACACATGATGTATTCCAGTGATATGACCCCATTCAGCAAGTTTCTACAGACTGAGAAAACTGACATGAATTTTTCTTGTTGGTATCTACCGTTAGGAAAGAGATCAATAACTTGGACTTTGTCCAGTAGCATCACATGGTACCTTCCCCTTGATCTTTGTAATTTCCCCACATTTAATGACAAAATTATAAATGTTTTATTTCTTCCTTTTGAAGTATGTATGATAGAGCTGGGACGGGTAACTCGGGTACTCGGGTCGAGTGGGTCCTGAGTAGGACCCGGGTACCCACAGGACTATCCAGACCCGAGGTTGTTTCATCGCACAAATTTACTATATAACTACATGGTTACACAGGCTCTAATGTTCGCATTTCTTCATGACTGTGGACACGTTCCTTCTGACTTTATAACAAAGCTAAAACTTCAGTCAACTTCAGTGTTTGCATGACCACATAGTTTTACATGTGTATCTAACTACATTGTGCCAGGGCTACTGTCAAACTATTACCAAATCGGACATTTTGTACCTATCTCTTTGACACCAACAGCGGGTACCCGGGTCGGGTCGGGTAATAGGGGTGTGGGTACCCGGGTAGTAAATTTGGACTCGTCCCAGCCCTAATGTATGACATGAATTAGCAATGAAGTGTGTTCCATCATATCACATTATGCTGTTTATCTGAACTGGTTCCTAGAATCTGGATTCTAGAATCACAGGGATTACAATAAAATAGTGACCGGCAGTAAGGCATGGTGGTCATGCTGAAAACAACATGTAGATAAAGGCTGTGGTTGCTTGTTGATGGACAGCTATGGCTGAAAGATAAGAAACATTGTTACTTATATCTGTATCCTGCAAAACATCAGATGCCAAAAGAATAGAAGGAATTGCTGAAGTTTCTAACAAATCATGATCCATGGTTTGATAAGCTTGTTGGAAGAGACCATGTCTGACCAAGACTGATGGGACTTCGTGGTATGCCAACTATGTGATGATTTGGGTTCACTGTTTGATAACAAATGTTTTATTTCACTCCACAGGGAAAGATGGGGTCACCTGGTTTCTCTGGCATCAACGGTATTCCTGTAAGTATATACTCCACCCCATACAGCAAGCATGGGATGAAGAAAAGTAGCTGTCAATACCAGACATTGAAATTATTATCTGTGTGAGGGTTTTTGTTTCAGTTTTAATATTTTGTTTCTGAATGTATTGAGCAGATTTTGTTTTTTGACGTGTATTAGAGTAGGACCTATTCACATAAGAATAAGGAAAGCAATTTTACTGATAATACAAGGCTTTGATTGAGAAGCATTGTTAAGTAAGTAGACTGCACTTCTACCAGCATCAGGACACGTGTTATATCTTGCTTATCACAGTCTGCCACTAAAATAGGGGATCACCACGGGTCCTTCATGCCAGCACTAGGTTATCTTGAAAGGATGTGATGTCTAATCAGCAGAATTTTTGAGTTTCTACAACAGGATTCTTGAATTAATCTGGAAATTTCCAGGCTCTTTTTTATTGCCATCAGTATTTCTGATTCATTTAACTCCAATTAAGAAGCTGATCTGAATTCCAAATATGTTGGACCCGTAAATCTTGGATTTTGAGTGTAATGGATCTAGGGCTAGTAACATAATGTAGTTGTCAGTAATCACATAATTGGCCAGCAAAAGACGTGAGAAGCGGTATCAAGAAATTAAATATATTGGGTATAGTGATTAAAGTTTGGAAATGTTTGATATTAAGTAACCTCCTACAGGATGATGCACACCAAGCCTTTGTGTGACTCAGTGACATTGTAATGTGAACTGAAGTAGTTGCAGAAGGGTAATTATTGGCAATATGGTCTTTGTGCTTGATGACGGAGCTGCCCTGCCCTGTTCCCACATGCTTCTAGTTCTCTGACACCCTTCAGCCTGGTCCTCACATTCCAAGACAGCTCTGCTGCTGTAGTGCATTGACCCAGACACTGAAAATGGACCAGATTCTACCACAAAATGTGATCAAGTTCAATGAACATGTTGGCTTACTAGATGTATTTATACAGATTTGGCCTCAGTTGAGTCACAAAAAAACATATCCTTGTGGGCAAATTGGATGCACATGTTCTTTGAGTGTTCCTAACAGGGCACAACAGAACAGCATCAGAAGATGGCTTTGCTTGAAGGTATTGCTTGTATGTAGGCCTCGTTAACTGTCAAGACGACAAGGACGTCAGTCAATTGGTTGCACTGTTTAGGGAATTTGAAAAATATTTGTCACAAACTGATATTTTTTGACAATTTGATCATGTTAAAGTACTGTTTTTAGATTTCATTGATGAGTTGAAGTAGTGTGACTCCAAATACTTTTTGTTTTTGGCAAAAACTAAGTTGACAAGACAACTGTCAGAGCATTTAAGAAATATGAAACAGGAATTATTACCATTTAAGGTGGTCATCAGCCAGATCCTATTTCTCTATCCACCAACAACATATATTTACTGCTTATTACGCTTCAGCATATGTTGAGAGATGAATGAACTGAGGAGAACATACCAAGCAAGTCTGGCTGCATGATATGCTATAACAATAAACACATGAGGCATAAATGTCAGCTCTCAGACCTGTTGAATTGATAAAACACACTTGGTGCTAACTTACAGCTCAAAACTTGTGCCTGATAAATGGTTTCCGCTGTGGCTAGAACATGCTGCCCTACGGGATTTACTTTTTGCTCAAACAACATGAATAGAGTTTTTGTTTCAAAATCACACGTCAATGTCAAAACAGGCACCAAGTAGCTACAAGACTTCAGGTTGAATGAAAATAATTTTGTTTTTCAAATTCCGCTGTATCTGCAAGATCAGCAAGACTAGACTACCTTTCTTTTGGAATACTCTGCTTGAAAACTTATACAAAAGGATTTCAGATGAGTTTCTTTTATGATGATTTATGATATTAAGTTGGAATGAAAGGTGTTAAAAAATGAAAATTGCCTCATTATATCTCAATGATGAATTTGTTATTTTGTTTGTTTGTTTTCATTTTGAAGTTACCTCCTGTTGACATTGTTAGCTTTTGTTTTTAGGGTTTTCCTGGCCCACCCGGACCTCGTGGTGCTTCTGGTCTAGATGGTTGCAATGGAACTCAGGTACGTAGCTCACATTCATGTTTAAAGCACTACATATATATAGTGTTAATAGATGTTGTCCATAGTCCTCATACTGTTGGATGGATGCAATTGAAAATGGGTACGTAGTGGTAATACCGTATTCGACGTAATAAGCGCCCCGCTCTAATAAGCGCCCATGGCGATATTTGCTAATATATTGGCTAGTGAACAATCCTAATTAGCACCCCTTCCAATTGATCAATGTACACAAGACTTATTTATTCACGTATTATACGCACTTGTGTGTTATATGCACCCTTAATTATGGGCAATTAAATTCTGGAAAAATATATCTGTTGAATATAAACATTTCACGCTGTCCACAGCATAAACCACAAAATTTATCTTTCAACTCTGTTTTTTCCACCAAAATAATATTCTGATAAGAGCCCCCTATTTCTAATTTTGAGAGCACCCTGGGGGCTTATTATGTCGAATACGGTAGATGTTTTTTGTAGTCCCAATGCTATTTGATGGATGCAGCTGGAAACAGGTATGTAGCTCGAGTATGCTTTCCTGCTCTCCAAATCAACACCCCTGTAAGTTGATGTACTTAATGAAGTCAGTTTGGTATACTTTGAAAAGGCCATCCCAAACTTGTCAACAAGGCCCATGGCTAGTACATTTGTTCTCTAGCATATTTGAATTTAGAGGTATATAATTTGATTGATGGGTGTGGCCTGTGTATTAAACACAATTTGATGATACATTCTGTGGGTTGCGATTTCAGGGATAAATTATCAGAACAATAAATCGAACCAGGGATGAAAGTTATGATCCTACTTATGATGGTCTTTCCCAGGGCATGGTTCCTCCATGTTGATATGAGACAGACAGGAGGTGTATGGATTCAGCAACACTCTCTGCTCAGTGGAGGGAATGATACTGGGTGGCAGTGTGTCTAACTTTGTGTTAGGGGCATGGGTGGCCCAGTCGTCTAAGGCACCACCATTCACTCTTTCGTCCCTTGGGCATGCCAGAAAGCTATGATTGTGGGTTCGCCCCAATTATGTTTCTAGGTTTGTCAGCACCATACCTGTGCTTGTGGGTTTCACCGAAGTGGTAAACGCCTGAGACCTGCATCACTTTGGGCTTTCCTCCCACATTAAGCTGACACACTGCAATATAACTGGAATACTGTTAAAAGCAGCGTTAATCACTCACTCACTCACTCACTAACTTAGTGTTTGGGCTATGTTTACTTTAGGAACACAGCCCCCATGAAGTGGGCAGAGCTAGGGAAATTTCTATGCTTGGTAGCAGAGGACATGTCATCACCGACCAGATACTCATAAAACCCAGAATGCCATGAGCTGGGGCTTCAAGAATGCAAGATTTGCACTGTAAATAGGATGAATGTTCTCAGCACATGGGCCTGGTTGCTCTTGCAGCAGTATAAAGGCAGCAGTCCCAGTGGGGTTTATTTCTGGCTTTATAGCACTGACATTCTGTCCTGTCTGGAGCCAGGTTGCCATTTATTTAGAGATGGATGATAATTAGATCACAATCACCTTTCTCGCATATGGATCATGAGTCGAAGTTGGACCTTAGAAAAGGTTATATGTGGTTGGGAAATGATCCTGTTTCTTCCTTGTTGAGAATCTAAGATAAGATCATATTTGTTGCAATACATGCCATTAAAGAACAGATGTGAAGTAAAAGACAGCTACAAATTACATGTACACAAACACACCAAATATGCATTACTTAAATCAAATATTGAAATACTCTTGGCATATCTTTCAGGAGATGTTTTCAATAATGTAGAAGAATATAGGAAATATATTAACAGGGTAAGGATAAGTACATATCCTTGCTTTAGTCTCTACTGTTTAAAACAATTCTGTTATGTGATGCACACCTCACTACATTGTATCAACAAGAATAAAGGAAATATATTAACAGAATAAGGATAAGTACATATCCTTGCTTTAGTCTCTACTGTTTAAAACAATTCTGTTATGTGATGCACACCTCACTACATTGCAACAACATTTTCCTTGAAACATGACAACCATTGGTCTGTTGACCAGCCTGTTGATGGTGAGTGTCACGCCTTTCCTGTTTCTATCAGGACATATTTATTATGGCCATGCCAGGGCTACATGGTGTACAATAAAGTATAAACACTGACCACATGTGTGCAAACAGGGCCTGCTTGATACAGGATGGGCACCTCTTTATCAAGCTATCTAAGTAGTTTTAAAAGCTATCAAGCATAACATGAAAATTTGCTGCTCCAAATTTAAAAGTGTAGCTGTACTCATCATCTTATTTAGATTAAACTGATAGAAGAAGCTGAAGAAACTTTATTGTACATAAACACCCACAAGGGACAGAGTATGAGACATGAACATGATTAGTTATAATGAAAAGTTGTAAACATTGACATACACAATGAAATACAAATATTGATATGTTTTCTGAATATAATTTCAAGTTTCATACAGAAATAAAACCAACATAGATATGTTAGAATTTCCATTTAATTGTGTTTTTGTGCACTAAGTAGAATACTAATATAATTTGTTCAAGAAATCAAGATAAACAGCGTAGTTTATTTTCAAAGAATTTATGAACCCCTGTCCTCATCAAACTCGGGCAGGTATTCCAACAATTAGTCTGCATCAACAGATTCCCTTTATGCACTCCCAACAACACACTGGCATCTCACACCTCCCAAGCAGTGCATGTCAGATGCTGCGATAGTATCAAGTTCCAACATCGAATTCTAACACTTGGTGGAGATAAACCTATGGCAGTCCACATGCTGCCTCCCCAAACTTGATGGCAGGTCACCATCTATCACTTCCATATGAACACTAACCCAACCACACAAGTCAATGGCTACCATCCAACCACCCCATTACCCCTCCACCACAATGCCACAGCTGCCACTGTCCAGTCAACTCACAACCCCATGGATGTCACTGTCCAGGCTACCCACCACCCTCCATCCCTTAGCTGTCACCATCCAGGCTACCCACCACCCTCCATCCCTTGGCTGTCACCATCCAGGCTACCCACTACCCTCCATCCCTTAGCCGTCATCAGTCCATCATATCTCCACCCAATGGCTGCCACACGCCACCATTCTACCATCCCACACCTCACAGTCAACATCCCATGGCTGGCGCTCCCCACCTATTTGACATCACACCACCTCATCACATGAAGGCTGACAAACAACCCGCTTTCTGTTCCATACCCCTCCCAATGCCTACCACCACAATCCAATCTGGTGTATACCATGCCCTGCTGACATGGCATATACTATCTACTCCTATAACCCTGTACCTTCATACCAGACCTACCTCCTGTGGTCAAGCATGCACAACAGCATATGCCATAACTGACTTTGGCAGCACAGGAACTGCCTCCATGGGATTATTTAGTGCTAGTTGTGTTGATGAGATGTGGAGGTGTGGGGAGTCCGAAATGGTGGTCAGTGACAGTCCACTTAGTCTACTTCACAGGTCCTGATCTAGTTCACATGAATCTAGGGCACCAAATTTGGTATACAATGAACCCTTCATAGTCAAATCTAAGATAACCACAAGACTTCACAACTGGAGCCATCGTACATGTCTTGAGCACAATGTTTGGGATATGAAAATTTCCCAAGAAAAACATGTTGATCTTTTGTGTAAATTAAGCCATACTTTTCGAACTATCAGTCAAGATTAGCTTGCCCTGTATTTGCCATCAATTCATTAAAACAAATACTCAAAATACCTCCCCATAGAATTTCTTTCTGTTCTAACTGCCCCTGACACTTTATGAATTATATTGCAATGTAGAGTTTATGTTGGACTTTTGGCAAGACAGAGCATAGCTTATTTGACCAAGCCAAGTGGCCTACTGCTGGGGATGAAATGAGGTCATGTCTTGGATGAATCTGGATGCTGGTGGTCTAGAAAAGATCTGGTTACACAAGTGATTGGGTCTATTATCAGTAGAAGCAGCATGAGGGATAGCCCTGTGATTGCAGGAGGGTTCCCACAGGGGGTCCCTGTAGGCTGTCAGGACAGGGCACCTGCCTTCAGGATCACAATGACTGACACCACCTCATGTTGTGGTCATGGGCACAGATGATGTCTACGCTGACCAATTGCTTCTGACATGGACATCTTGATTGGTAACATGCATGGTGTTCCTCAGGTCATGAAGTTCAGAGTTCTGGTGTAGCCTTCTTTCTGACTGTCATCGAGATCCCAACCACTGAGAAAGGATGTTCTGCTATGGTTTTAGCTGAGATGAGAGACAGTGATTAATGGTAGTCCACAACATGATAAAATGATAAAACACTGTACAAATTACTTTGGTATAATAGGGACAGAAAACTTCCACAATAGACACAAAAGAATACAATAACCTTAGAGGAGGATATGATCTACATTTCAGCGGGGTATAAGTTTTTCAGTTGTATTAAACGTCATTGACTAAACGTCATGTAAGGAAAGATAATAACAAATACATCTGCAGATAATACACTACTTTCATTCTAAAATTATGATCAAAACTGTATGGCTTTGAGAATTCATATACACTCTAATGATCAATTGTTTTATGCATAGTTTTGAGCGCAACAAGTCTGAGGTAAAGTGGCTAGAATTACTAGTCTTAGTCAACAAGTACTAAGTAAAGTGGCTAGAATTACAAGTCTTAGTCAACAAGTTCTTGGTAAAGTGGCTAGAATTACTTGTCTTAGTCAACAAGTACTTGGTAAAGTGGCTAGAATTACAAGTCTTAGTGAACAAGTTCTTGGTAAAGTGGCTAGAATTACTTGTCTTAGTCAACAAGTACTTGGTAAAGTGGCTAGAATTATAAGTCTTAGTGAACACCTTGGTAAAGTGGCTAGAATTACTTGTCTTAGTCAACACGTTCTTGGTAAAGTAGCTAGAATTACTTGTCCTAGTCAAACACATAGATTATCCTCGCTTGACACAAGAATGTCACCTGATTCCCGCTGTAGCCTATTGGTACTGTCTATAATAATATAGAGGCATAATCAGCAAAAGCATACAAGAGTAAGTAAGAAAGATCAGTGAACAAAAATGCCTTTTCTGTGTCTTGCACCCTCAAGTGTAGAGCCTCCTTGGTAACATGGTGAGATAGAACTGTGAGATCGGAAATAACCCCAGTGTTTATTACACATGGGTGGGTCTGCTGACTCTCACAACCTGGTTACACAGGATGTCAGAAATGGCCACAACCTTCCATTCTTCTGGCACACTGAGGGATTCCTGGATATGATGTTAGCCAAACAATGTACTGATCAGAATCATCAAGGCAACATGTACTGGAAAGAAATTGGAAAACGGGTCTAGTTTAGCTCTGGCTTGTCACAATGGTCTTCAGCACGAACTTGAAGAGTTTCAGCATTGCTGATACAGCAACATTCTAACCTTAATGATTGAAGAGGCCATTACTCTTTGATATGTCAAAGCTGAGAAATAAACACATGTATTCCGTCTGAGTATTTCAATCATTTCTTTAAAAAATCTTTAAATGTTTGTTTCAAAATGTTAAAAGTCTTAAGACGTTTCATTCAAAATCTTTTTAAGGAGTTTAAATGTACCTTTTTATATAATGCCATTGAGGTATGCTCCAATTCTTAAGGGACAATGTGGGAGAATATGGCCATAGTTTATCACTGTGGCAAATTCTTCCTAGGTCAGCAACCTACAACCTCAGACATATCTCACTTATACATATGATGTCAATCAGAATGGATATTTGAGCTGACTTGAAAAGCGATGCACAGTGTTGGTGTTTGTAGCATGGCAGGGGAAACTTTATTATACTGTATATGAAAGAGAAATTGTTTATAAATGACTTAAGATTAGGATATCCACAATCTTCAGGTCGAAATGCCTTACTATATTTCAATTATTTGACAGTACTTGAAGGATCCTGACTTTTTCCAATAAGAAATTGTTTATAAATGACTTAAGATTAGGATATCCACAATCTTCAGGTCGAAATGCCTTACTATATTTCAATTATTTGACAGTACTTGAAGGATCCTGACTTTTTCCAATAGAACTGACATTGTCTGTTGAAATAGTTCAAACCCATACCAAGACAGTCATATAACAGACCAGTGATAAGGCATGTAGATGCATGGTCCTTGGTTCTTTGACATTTAAAAAAAAATTAATTTGGATTCTTCATCCATTTTTGCTGAAGCAAATTTCTGTTTGTAGCCTGACATGTCAGACTGTCAAAACTTAGAAAATGTATATTTTACAATTTTGAATTTGATAAGGTGGCTACAAGATCGTGACATATTAGTTGCATTGTTTTTTAGATAATGTTAATCAGGAGAAATTGTATTTTTCATCTCTAAAAAAAAAGAACAAAATGCCCTTATTGTGTCCTTCTTCAGTCAGATTAACGATCAAGTGGTCTCCATACTTACCACAGCAGTGTTGATAGTATTTATATAATAGGTAATAATTCATGCAAGTGAATAAATAGATTGTATGCCTTTTAAGAAGTTTAAGAAAATCAAATAAAATCAAATCAGTGTAGACATAATAAAGTTCTGAATGGTGAAAAAATTGAAATGAATCACATGACTATCCCTGTGTATGTATATTGTATAAGCTGATATTGATATGTGTTGTATGAAAAGAAAGATGGAACATTTAAGGTATAGCCAATTGCACTTTTGTGTGTTATTGGGTTATAGCCTGACATTGATCAAGATACAGATATTTTATGGGTCATTTGTAAATGAATACAATATCCTCTTTATTTGAGTTATCTCCCCTGGCTAGGCCCTCGGTGGATGCAAGTCAGTCTGAGCCCAACCCGTACTCGGCAGAGCCCGAAACCTGACAGCGAGTGGGCAGTGGTCAAGGATGGCATTATGAGTGGGGGAATTGCACCTTGTTAACCCTTTTACATGCCTTGTGTCAACAACATTAAATATCTACTTTGGCACACAGGATTATGCATGTAAAGTGTCAACAACAGAGATTAATGAGTCTTAATTATCTGCTGAAACAGATTCCTTTGAACACACAATGCCATTTAGAAAGTGGTCAAATGTAACAAATGTTATATTTGGGATAACACTTTCTTTGTAAAGTACAGATTCTTGTTCTTTTTGGGGTTGAGTCCCATCCGGGATTCGAACCCACACTGGACATAAAAGGTAAAATAGTGGTGAAAGATATATGAATGGATCACTGAAAATAAGTGATGACACCAGTTGTTGTCAAACAGGGCAACAAAGGTGAGTGAAAGAGGCCTTTAAGTTTTATGTGTATGAATGACCAGATTGTTTAATACATGTATCTAAATACGTTTTGCCAATGCTATGCTAAAAATGTTCCCAATTGGACATTTGGAGACATCTCCATAGACCTACAGTGGGTACCCAGGTAGGGTCGGGTAATAGGGGGGTTGTACCCGGGTAGTAAATTTGGATTCGTGCCAGCCCTACTGGATTGTCTGGTCCGGTCGTCATCATATTGTTGAGTGTTACATTTACCAAACAAACAAGCATGTCACTCTCACGATGTACACTTGATCAGTGATACAACATTCAATCATATATTTGAATGTCAATCATAGCTCCGTCATGAAGTATAACCTGAAAACTTAATGATTAATTTATTTCTTTCTTAGCGTTGGTATTATCTGACCAATATACTTATCACATGTCGCAATGTATTTACAAAGACAAATTTGCACCTGTGTTATAGGGAGATCCTGGCTCTCCTGGTCTGCCTGGTCTTCCCGGAGAGGCTGGTACCTCTGGTCTGGACGGTCTTCCTGGTATTAAGGGAGAACCATCACCTGTCGGAGTCACCCTCCCAGGACAGAAGGTAATGTAGTCTAAACTCATCCATACGAGTCAATTGAGCCCATTCTATGTTTGTTTGAAACAGAAAATAAATAAAAATACCTACCCTCCCAAATTTTCAAAACCCCAGCTTTTTCAGCATGCATACAAAAGAGCTAATTTCGGAAACACAATTACGAGCTAATTTACTTCCCGAGTCTAGGCGAAATATTTAGAACGGTTATATACATCTCAAACATTATTTCATTTTTTTAAATCTTAAAATGTTCACTAATTTTGGGGAAAAAACCAATAGAGTGATGAGTGAAAAAATATTGGTTGCCCAATGAAAAATGTAATAACCCAATTAAAATAGAAACCCTAGAGTAAAATCTCAATTGCTCAAAAGTAACCAGGAGCTCTGTTTGAAAGGCATATTAATACATATTAAACAGCATGAATGCTGGTTTGCCTAGGTGTAAAGTTAACAAACTTTTGAATGTGTAGTTGGATTTTAAGGGGAAAATGTAACCATATATGTTAATTTTTTAAAGAAAAATGTAATCTCAGGTCATTACATGAGTTGTAAACCTGTATCTCAACTTGCTTGCATTCAGTTATCATAATTATCTATAATGCTTTTAAGTGTTTGAATTGCCTCTTGATATTATTGTCTGTCATATTACAGGGAGAGCCTGGAGCAGATGGCCTACCTGGGTTGCCTGTGAGTACATACGATATACTGTACTGTCTAGGTTAATTTCAGATAAGCACAGACATTGTTTGAACTTTGTGCTTTGGAATCTGCCTTCGCCATAAAATTGAAACATGAAAAAAATTAAGATAAAAAGCAGTTTTTTTATTTTGCTGACCAGAAATAAGTAAAATGTCAAAAAACCCCTCTGTTTACCATGTTTACTGTCACTATCAATACAAGTAAATTATTTTTAATACTATAATTGAAACCAGTTATTGTTATTTATCCTCCAATACTGGCTTCCTCAGGTCTTATCGCTACAATGAAATTGCATAGCAATGAGGTTTTGATCAGTTTCCATGACATCACAATCAAATGTCATCACTTAGCAGCACTTGTAAATAGAAACCGTACCGTACAGTTTACAAGAATAGGACAAATCTGTGTGAATATCCAAGTAAACATGTGTTTGTTTTTTACAGGGAAGTCACGGAAGAGATGGACCCATTGGCCCCAAGGGAGAACCTGGCTTGTCAGGACCGCCTGTATGTAGATTAGTGTTTTCCTTGTTAAAAATGTTTAAAACTTATCAAATAAGAAATTTAACACAGGTTAGCTTATGACATGTGTTCAAATATCTATACCATTACTTAAGCAAAGCTAGAAGCTCCGAGAACAATTTACAAATTTTACAAACATATTAAAACATTTCACTGCTTTCAATTTATGTTACTGCTGCAGCTGTTTGTCACAGAGTGAGCCGTTCATGTTACTGCTGCAGCTGTTTGTCACAGAGTGAGCCGTTCATGTTACTGCTGCAGCTGTCTGTCACAGAATGAGCCGTTCATATTACTGCTGCAGCTGTTTGTCACAGAGTGAGCCGTTCATGTTACTGCTGCAGCTGTTTGTCACAGAGTGAGCCGTTCATGTTACTGCTGCAGCTGTTTGTCACAGAGTGAGCCGTTCATGTTACTGCTGCAGCTGTTTGTCACAGAGTGAGCCGTTCATGTTACTGCTGCAGCTGTTTGTCGCAGAGTGAGCCGTTCATGTTACTGCTGCAGCTGTTTATCGCAGAATGAGCCGTTCATGTTACTGCTGCAGCTGTTTGTCACAGAGTGAGCTGTTCATGTTACTGCTGCAGCTGTTTGTCACAGAGTGAGCCGTTCATGTTACTGCTGCAGCTGTTTGTCACAGAGTGAGCCGTTCATGTTACTGCTGGAGCTGTTTGTCACAGAGTGAGCCGTTCATGTTACTGCTGCAGCTGTTTGTCACAGAATGAGCCGTTCATATTACTGCTGCAGCTGTTTGTCACAGAGTGAGCCGTTCATGTTACTGCTGCAGCTGTTTGTCACAGAGTGAGGTACACATTTGGAATGACAAACCTACAGCAATGTAGAATTTACTTTGCAGGGTCCATTTGGAGAACGAGGACAACCTGGCGAGAAAGGTAACATGGGTTTGGGCACACATGGAGAGAAGGGACAGAAAGGCTCGCTTGGACCCCCTGGCAACCCTGGACCCCCAGGTGGTTTAGGAGCTCTCACCAACCCCCCAGGCCAAATCCAGGGACCGAAGGGACTAAAGGGAATGCTAGGAAATGAGGTGGGTGGTAATGGTATATACTGTAAATCTTGAAATTCAGGGGAGCGTGAATCAAAGGCGAAAAATGCGAGTGGTCTTTGCTCGCATTATTAAACATCGAATTTATATCAACAATAAGACATTATCACAAATCATGTGCATCATATCGTGATAAGAATAAGAACACTCTGTGGTTACACTTGACTGAGTGTTGGTTTTGTCATTAATTGGTACACGTCGGAAACATTTCTTAATGTACATATTTCTCTATATGTTTCTCTGGTTCACGTTTCTTTTGGCGGTGAGTTTATTTACATTTGTTGGAAGCTTCGTATCCACTGGTTCAGCACTTGAGGAATCAGCATCTTTGATAAATATTGTTGACTATGTTGTAGAACTCCATTCAATCATTATTAGAGTGACTATCAAGGTCATTTTGACTATTGCAATACTTAAAAACACTGTTGCAATACTACAGCAATAATATTTTTTATCTTTTCTGAATTTATGCCAATTTGTCTCTTAATACAAAATGTTAACTATTGATATTTTAATCTGTCATACATGTTTTGTAGCATGGACATTGCACTGCATCACTAGTTTGGTCAGCCATGACACCTGTAAATATTGAAGATCTGGGGGAGAATAGATCTTCAGCAACCCATGCTTGCCGTAAAAGGCGACTATGCTAGTCGTAAAAAGCGACTAACGGAATCGGGTGGTCAGACCCGCTGACTTGGTTGATGTATGTTATCATATCCCAATTGCGTTGATCGATGCTCATGAAGTCAATCACTGGATTGTCTGGTCCAGACTTGATTACTTACAGACTGTCGTCATATAGCTGGAATATTGCTGAGTGCGACGTTAAACAACAAACAAACTCACTCAGAGTATCTGTGAGCACCACAGCGGTATGCTGTAAGTATGATGCTGTCTGTTTCAGGGCATGAAGGGTGAACCTGGTCTGCCTGGCATGAAGGGACCCTCTGGTTTTCAGGTAGGTCCTCACACTCTGCTTCACATGTCACTATCACCTCAAAGCAACATGCTTGGTCTTCTTCCATATAGTGAACTTTTGTTGTGAACCAGGTCAGTAATGATGTGACAAACATATCAGTTGACAGGTATTTGTGTTTTTACAAGATGGCGATTAGCGAATCAGATAGCTGGATCTTATTATGAGTAAGGATAAAAATCAATACATTAATATCATGACATCAGCTGACAGATATTTGTGTTTTCACAAGATGGCGATTACCGAATCAGATAGCTGGATCTTATTATGAGTAATGATAAAAATCAATACATTAATATCATAACATCAGCTGACAGATATTTGTGTTTTCACAAGATGGCGATTAGCGAATCAGATAGCTGGATCTTATTATGAGTAATGATAAAAATCAATACATTAATATCATAACATCAGCTGACAGATATTTGTGTTTTCACAAGATGGCGATTACCGAATCAGATAGCTGGATCTTATTATGAGTAATGATAAAAATCAATACATTAATGTCATGACAGTATGTCATCATTGCATGAATAACAAATATAATGATAAACTCTGCTATTTGACAAGTTGTGTTCCTTATTGTATTAAGGATGCTGTTTCTATTCCTGTTTTTACTGTTTATTTCAGGGCCTACCTGGTCCACCAGGAATGTTTGGCGAGAAGGGTGTACCTGGCATTGCTGGTCCTCGTGTGAGTTGACAATACTAATATCTCTACGATACAATTGTACTGAGAATCAAACTTATTAATAGCATTTATGTCAAAGAAATGAAAGCTCAAGTCATGTTCTTTGACTTCTTTGTTCTATGATTCTATTTCATAATCTTTTTGCTTTTTAAAAGACATCAGAAATACATTGCTAAAATAATTTGTGTATATATTGCTAGTAAGGTACAGTTAGGTGTACGGATGCCAAATAAGGACTGCTTGAAAGTACAGATAAATGTAGTAAATGAATTGTTTGTTGTGAAAGCTTTATTAGCTGTTCACGATCATTGTTTATTGTTGATGTTTTTCAGGGTAAACAAGGTTATCCTGGTGTTCCTGGGCAACCTGGACAAAAGGTACCGTCAGCTAAGTAAAAGCGACAAAACCATTTCCATATTCATAAGCAGTCTGTGCCAAAAACAGAGTCGATAGTACGATTGTACAATATCCTGGGCATGAGTTAAATAATTTTGTGTAATGGATAAGATCCTGCTTGAGATATTGTGGATCAACATGCTGACATAACGCAGAAGCAGACACTTGAGAGTTTCATAGTTTATGAATGCCAGGAAAGCATTTTTTTGTTTTTAATTTCTTAATTTACGGACATGTAATGGAGGTGGGATTATATCAAAATTATAAAAATGTTTTTGGAAAATCAATCTCAAAGTAAGAAAAGAAGTGAAAGCCAAAGGGACACATAATTGAAGAAATGGAGGTGAACATGGAACAGAATTGAAATGATTACAAATATTAATGTTAAATTAATCGGAATAATATCCTGAATAAAACCTTGTGGTTTTTAATGATGTAATAAATGCGATCAGAGTCAGGGAATCATTTATTTCAATGCTTTAAGATATGTGCGTGGGTGCGTGCATGCGTGGGTGGGTGAGTGCGTGCATGCGTGCGTGCGTGCGTGCGTGAGTGAGAGAGGCATGTCTATATCATGATTTATCCTGTCTGTTGTGTAGGGTGATCGAGGTATGGATGGTCTTCCTGGTCTGCCTGGCCTGCCTGGAATGAAGGGAGATCGTGGTCTGGGTGGTATTGATGGTCTTCGTGGTCAGAGAGGTCCCCCTGGTCCTGCTGGAGTAAGTATGGTCTATCACAGTAACTACCCTTTTGAAATAGTCATGGATCAAACATCATTTCTGAGTTTTGAAACATTTGTATCAGCCGAAGACAGAATAGGGGAGACAACTCTCACTTGCAAACGGCAGAGTGAAAGCACATGGTGCCAGTCACACTCTTGAGTACGACTACTGTAATTAAACAGATAATGAACAAAGACTTCATTGTCTTATTCTTAGAAAAGAATAATTGTCAGTATTAATTTTTATAATGGTAATAGCTAGGGTGTGATTAACAGATTTTTTATTTTTGCCTTATAAGATATAAGATATGAAACCTGTCACTTATGTTGTGTGAACATTGAGTACCTTGAATGAATGCTTTACAATACCATAACCCAGGTGAAAGAAGTGTCTTACTCACCTCCTAATGTTACACTGTGTAGGGACCTGGAGGAGATGGTCCACCGGGTCCAGTTGGACCTGCTGGTCAACGTGGTCTGCCTGGTGATCCAGGACTGCCTGGCCTCCCTGGACCACAAGGTTTGCGTGGTAATGATGGTCCTTCCGGTGGCCCTGGAATCCCTGGCGTGCCTGGTACACAAGGTCTTGATGGTCCCAAAGGAGACAGGGGAGACTCTGGAGTTTCAGGTATAGTTTATCTGTTCATTCAAGCAACACAACACTTACCCCAATTAACTTAACATGTACAGTCGAGCAATAGCTGTTCATCTAGAGACAAATTCTCCATTTTCACAGAAATTATCTCAAGACTTGCGCTGGACATAAGACTAAACTTCTGAGATGAGTGAAACATCTCCTTTGAACAAAGACTATGTTAGTTTCTTATCAACGATTATTTTTTTCTTTGAAAAGAGGAGCCAAACAAAAGTTAACTACAATAAGTCAGTAAAAAGTCACACACATCTGTTTGATTTACAACTTGCCGCTCGTATAAAGATAAATATCAAATGATCTGTTGGTATGTCTTGTCCTCTATGTGACTATTTGACAGTTGGTCAAGGATGGCAACTGAAGGCCCATCTGGACATTTGTTGAAGAACTTAGCCAAATGCCACAATGGAACTGATGCCTCTGTTTATCATCAGGTATTACTGGTCTGGATGGTCGCCCTGGTGCTCCTGGCCTGCCTGGACAGAAGGGAGAGCCTGGTTTTCCTGGTGAATCTGGAGGAAGTATTCCTGGAGTCCGGGGACCATCTGGCTTGCCTGGTCTGGATGGTATTCCTGGTGGCAAGGGAGAGAGAGGTGCTAAAGGTCTGCCTGGCCCACCTGGAAATTCTACCAAGGGTTTGCCTGGCCCCTCCGGTCCCAAGGGAGAGAAGGGTCAGGGAGGTTTCTCTGGTTTGCCTGGTCGTGATGGTCTTCCTGGTCTTCCTGGAGATAAGGGTCAGTTGGTAGAGATACTCACATTTTATATTCCCTGTGTTATTAGTAAGAGTCATGTTGTTATTTATCCATCTTCAATTTGAACACACTGTTAAACACACATTGTAAAATGAAATGGAGTGTATGCTATGATCCGATTGATTGAAATAAAGTTTGGAACATGGAAATATTCGGGACTTTTCACTGCATTTAAATAGATGTCTTGTCTAAGTATCTAAGGTCATCGGTTGCAACTCAATCTGCCTGGGATCAGTACTCAATAGCACACTCAAATCTGAAAACTCATTATGTTATCTTTTAAGTAATGCGTAAACAATATTGTTCCTATGTCCACAGGTGATCGTGGTGGTTCCTGCAGCCTGTGTCAGAATGGTCTTAAGGGAGAGAAGGGTCTGTCTGGTCTAGATGGTCTGTCTGGTCAACCTGGTATACCAGGAGATTCAGGACCACTTGGAACCAAAGGAGAGCCTGGAGAGGATGGTCCTCCAGGTCTGTCTGGCCTACCTGGTCTCAGGGTTAGTATCTGCACTCAATTTACAGAAGATTTCATCAGCTTGGGCATATGTTGAGAATTCAAGAATAATGCAAGTTATCTATACAAAATTCAAATAACCAGTACTGTGTAGCTGATATGCACAAAGGTTTGTGAAAGGACAATGGATACTGTCTTCCAGAGACATAAATATGTTATTGTGCACTCGGGTACGTGAACTTTGAAATGTTACTTGCCCAGAGAAAAGTTTTCTCGTTCAGCAGTGTAAAGACACCATGTTTGCAATTTGAGGTTATTGGTGTTAAATCATGATTCGGGGTCTTACAGTTTCCTCTATCACAAAACAATATGTTGTAAGTGAAATACTGTTCAAAGCAGCATTGAAACCCAGGTCAGCGACTTAAAATTGTTTCAAACTTCTTTTGAAAAAGATCCCAGATAACCCTAAGTGCCTCAATTTGGGGGTGGCATCTCAGAATGTCGTGCATGTGGGGTGTGTTATCAAAACACAATCACCATCCTTAAACACTTATGACAAGATTCATTATAAGTGTCTGTACATGGATATTTGAACCACATAATTCCTTTTTTGTACAACAGCTTCAGTTAGGTATGACTGGACAAGTTGTAGCATGGTAAATGCTGCACAATTGCTGATGCAACTTTAAGCAATAATTACTCCCCTATCTTGGTTGTCGCATATGGCAGATCAACTGACTATTGTGTGTGTACATTGTATGACATTGGCCAATGTCTCTGTATTCTAGGGTGAGGATGGTCTACCTGGCCTGCCTGGTATTCAAGGTATAAAGGGAAATGATGCAAGGGCAGAGGTCATCCCTGGCCCTGAGGGTAAGTACCTTGACCAACCCATTTTATAGCTAAAATGGATAGAATTATCATTAAACTGCCCACCTGTTATCAAAAATCAGCAGGCCACTGTAACTTGATAATGCCCTCATATTGCTTGACGACGGGCCATTATCATGCTCGTTGTTAGGTGACGTCATTGGATAGGGATAGGTGACGTCACGTTCAATTGTGACGTCATCCGGTTTGTTCTCTGATGTTTCCATGTTTGTAAAAGTGGGTCAATGACATTCGTGTTGATTGCAGTAAATGTTTCAAAACCGATATTGTTGACCTCAGGCTTCTGCAAATGATAATGCCCTGAAAAATAGCGTTACCCTTATAGTACTGATGGCTGTCATTCATATGAACAGAAAGTCTGGCAAAATGAGGGTGATTATTTTAGTTCACCTGGATGGTGGAGGCATGGGTGGCCCAGTCAGCTAAGGCACCACAATTCACTGTGCAGAGTTGCGTCCCTTGGGCACGCCAGAAATCTATTATCGTGGGTTCGAATTCCGGTTTGCCCTGATTATGTTTCTAGGTTTGTCAGCACCATACCCATGCTTTTTGGTTTCACCAAGTGGTAAATGTCTGAGACCTGCATCACTTTGGTTTTCCTCCCACAGTAAGCTGAAACTCTGTGATATAATTGGAATACTGTTAAGCGGCATAAAAACCAACTCACTCACTCATTTGGATAGTGAGTGAGTATAGGTTTTGCTGCCTTAAGCAATATTCAAGAAAATACACATATATTCAGAAATCACATATTGTGCTTCCATTAGGCTGCTGCCCCTCATCTTGATAGAGCCATCAGATAGATAGCTATATATGTTTAGAAGGAATATTAACAATATGTTTGTGTGTAATGACTGCTGGTTACCCATTTCCAGTGTAGGTATAAAACTGCTATATTGATAAACATTGTAATGTTTGAGTCTACAAAGGGGTTTTGAAGTAAAGGAATCAAACTTGCTTGGACTTAATTATGTTGAGTTCCTCATTAAAATAAGAAAACTATGACCGACAGTCACAGAAAGCTAGGGAATTGTTACCTGTATGATAGTATGAAATTTTCATTAGACTTTGGATATTTTGACAGGTTTCAAGGGTGAGCGTGGTGATGTTGGTCTTCCTGGTGAGTCTGGTCGCCGAGGTCTGCCTGGTCCTCAGGGACCCCCTGGGGCTTCCGGTCTACCTGGAATCAAGGGAGAGAGGGTATGTCAAATAGGAAGTCATACTTCAGCCCTACTTCATCATCCTATTCATTTTAAAATGAACATTCTTAATCGGGGCACAAATAAGTTTGATGCCCATGAATTGAAATCACTGATTCACTGAATATTTCATTGTTCTTATTGGTTTCTGTATCAGGGAATGAAAGGTCTTCCTGGTTTAGATGGTCGCCCTGGCAACTCGGGAGAGCCTGGTATTCCTGGCTCAAGAGGACAGCCTGGAATTGGCCTGCCTGGCTTCCGTGGTGACCGTGGTGACCCAGGAGTGTCTGGTCTGCCTGGTCTTCCTGGTATGGAAGGACAGAAGGGAGAACCAGGTAAGCTGTTAAATGTTCACAAGTAATAATAATAATGATAATAATAGAAAACTTTCAGCTCCCTGGGGAGTATTCAACCCAAATGTTCTTCATGTGTTCTTTCAAAGAGACCAATACTGCAATATCCCATGGTTTTGTTCATAGCTTTAAATGATGGAAATAGTTTTGTTAAAAGATTTCAACAATTTGTTTCTGAAGATTTTTGGAAGTGCTCCGGATCACAACATGATTCATAGTTGACTGTTAGAATCTGGCTGAGTTATCACAGTTTGAACATTATACTTTTTATTTTTCAGGAATACTTCCCAGTAACATCAGGGACACATTGAAGGGCGAAGCTGGACAACCAGGTCTGCCTGGTCCGTCAGGTATTCCTGGCATGCCAGGATTGCCAGGACAGAAGGGAAATCCAGGTGAGAATGTAACTTGACCCCTCTGATGGTTTAATTGCTCTAAACTGCTAATGGAATGAAGCCTTCTATTTGTTGTTGATTAATGATTTATAATCAACGTCTTTCAGGTTTGCCTGGTAACTCTGGTGTGGATGGCCTACCTGGATTTAAGGGAGAAGGTGGTCTGCCTGGTCTGCCTGGATTGTCTGGTCCAAGAGGTGAGGCAAACGGCGATGAAGTCAGTCTTTCTGTTGATGCTGCATCTAAGGTGTCACCATATCACACATATACAGTGAAAAACTACACTACAAACAACAGAAATTACAAATCAACTGACACTACTAACTACAGAAACAATGAATCAACTGACACAAACTACAGAAATAACAAAAAGGTGACACTACAAAACAACAGAAACTACAAAACAACAGAAACTACAAAACAACAGAAACTACAAAATGCTGAAACTACAAAACAACAGATGCTAAATTAACTTACATTGCTTGTTACTTCTTGTTTCACCATTCGTTTGTCAAGTGTTGAGTCATGTTGATCTACTGTTGCAGGTCTGCCTGGTCCCCGTGGTGACAAGGGAGAGCCAGGATTGCCAGGATTGCCTGGAGCAAATGGTCTGAAGGGAGATGGTGGTCTACCTGGTTTGCCAGGCATTTCAGGTATATACTCATTTGGAATGAACAAATATTCCTGCAAAAAACAGTTGTGTTTTACTGAGTTAGAAGTTTGTCATACAATGAAATGAAATTGGTTCTCAGGCATTGACTTTTGAAAATATGGTGTGGGTGGTAGTTTTTTTTTGCTTGTTCAAACAAGTATGTAACCAAATAATCATTTGTGTACCATCAACCTGGTAAAGGGTCTCCCTACATAAACAAGCATACAAACTCCTATTGTATGACCATAACACGAGATGCACAGTGAATCAGTGCCCATGTAAAGGGAAGTAACTGCGTGCTATATTGGATCGCATTGTTTTTAAGTATTAGGATTTTTAAACTTTTTTTGGAAAATGGAAATATAAACGAAACGTGCTGCAGACATTATGATTATGGGTTTATTTTAGCCTTGTGCCAAAAGGAAATCTTGAATGTATATTTGGATCTTTTTCCTGTTGGTAGTTTTGAGTGAAGCATTGATCTGGAAAATATGCAAATCAGGAAAATAATATTGGTCTATTAACACTATTATTTTTTTTAGCCTAACATATTGAATTCTTCTGCAGCATGATAATAAATGAGTTTGTCTGCATCATCACTCTCTTCTTCCAGATTGTCTTCAATGTATAATTCACCATTTTGTAACTTTGTTCTAGGTTTGAAGGGAGAGCCTGGCTTTCCTGGAGAAGCAATGGTAGGACCCAAGGGAGAACCTGGTCTGCGTGGTCTCCCTGGAGAAGGAGGAATTGTTGGCTATGCTGGCCCAGAGGGTACGTGAAATAAGGGCAGATAAACCTGTGTTCACAATTAAGTGGTTCCAAATGTAGATTTGATACATGTAAATTTCATTTGAAACAGATCACACCAGCTTGATGCACTGATGTAGTCATCAGCCAAATCATGGTCTAGAATAGTGAGTGAGTGAATATGATTTTATGCCTCTTTTAGCAATATTCCATCAATATCATGGCATGAGGCAACAGAAGTGGGTTTCACACATTGTACCCATGTGTTGAATCGAGACCCTTTGGCGGGACAAGCCAACGTTTTAATCACTAGACTACCCTACTGGCCCAGGTCTAGAATAGATTTTATATCTCTTCCAGAACAATCAGAATGCAGGAATCAGAATTCTAAAATATAATGGAAGAATTATTCTGTTCTGGAGTTCATTCAGTCAGTGACCTGTGAAGATCTGGGGTAGAATAGGTCTTCAACAAACCATGCTTCCTGTAAAAGGCGACAATGCTTGTCATAGAGGCAACTTACGTTGCTCGCTGACCTGGTTGATGCATGTCATTGCATCCCAATTGTGTGGATCGATGCTCATGACATCAATGATTTTCTGGTCCAGACTCGATTATTTATAGACCGCCGTGATATAGCTGGAATATTGCTGAGTGCAGCATTAAACAACAATTGCTATTGTGACATATTGTCATCACAGGTACGAGAATAATTGTAGATTAATCAAATCCAATTTTAAAAAACGCATTCTTGTTTGAGGATACAGGGAGAAGGCGATCTAAGATGTGAGATGTACTCATTCCTTTTCTTAGAATAAAATATGTTTAAGCTGAGATTCACGGAGACTTTTCGTTTGCTAGGTTTGCGTGGTAGTCCTGGCTTGCCTGGTCTCAAGGGGGAACCCGGCCAGCCTGGTTTGCCTGGTCTTGATGGTCTTCCTGGAGTGAAGGGGGAGTCTGGACGGGATGGACAATCTGGCTTCCCTGGAAACGATGGACCGGAGGGTCTGCCTGGACTTCCTGGTGAGTAGGATGTACATGAAGAGTGCTAAGACCTCCTTCCAGTTGAAATGCATACTCTGATGTTCAGATGTTGAGAGTCATCATTAGATACAGTTCAGATCAAGTGTATAATAATATTGTCATTTATGACTTGCCTGTTGTTACCTGCTCTCCCTGAATATTTTCTCCATTTATTTCTATTCATTATATAATGCAAAGATTTCCATAATATTCATTTGCCGACTCCCAAGTCAGGTCTGATAATTTATAGTATTCACTTGACTAAAACTAGAATGGGATTATCTGTTTGGGGTGATATCTGTGTTTTGGATCTCCTAACACTATCGTAGTTTGATATATTGAATCTGCTTTCATCTCCTTATTATATGATAAAAAACTAATAGACTATATGACGTCAATACCTGTTTTTATGGACCTGAAAAATGCAATATCGAACTCGGACTTTGTCCTCTGTCATTGTATATTGTATGTTGTTGTGAAGCACTAATTGTTGTTTGTTGTCCTCCACAGGTGAGCCTGGCAGTAAGGGTGACTCTGGTTTGCCTGGCCTCCCTGGACTCTCAGGGCCAAAGGGTGAGAGTGGTCTTCCCGGACCTGCTGGACAATCCGGCCTTCCTGGACTTAATGGCGTCAGAGGACAACCTGGACAACCTGGTCAAGATGGTTTGCCTGGACTGCCAGGTCAGTAGAAGGAACATTTGTTGTCTTCCCTTTAGGATTTTCTGTAATAGAAATTTGTGGTTATCATATACAGCCAAACAATCCTTTTTACCGATCCACAGTAACCTATGCTGGTCGTGAGAAGGAACCAAATGGATGGAATGGTCAGACTGAATGGTTTGGTTGATGCCGTGTAATTGTACCTTGACAGCATGGATTGATGCCCATGATGTCAATCACTGGTTTATCTGGACCAGACTCGATTATTGACTGGCCACCATCATATAGCTGGAATAATTCTGAGTGCGGCATTAAACAACAAACAACAATTTAAACAGTGTAATTGGATCTCAGATACCAGATAATGAACAGTGTCAGTGTCTGTTTAACAACTCATTTCTACACTGCTGATGCTGCAGGTGTGAAGGGTGATTCTGGACTGATGGGTTTCCCCGGTGAACCTGGACGTGAGGGACTTCCTGGTCTTCAGGGTTTGGCTGGGATCAAGGGAGAACCTGGTGCAGCTGGCTACCCTGGAGAAATTGGTCGTGAGGGCATTAGAGGTAGGTAATATTTGGTGACCCTGATTCTCGACGCTTGATTTCCTGAGGTATTAGTTGTGGAAGTGTCAGTGGAAGGTGTTATAAAGTGACCCTCGTCCTGGTTTTCAGTTATGTAGGATCTTAGCCAACAGATAATCTTATTGACAATGGGTTGATGTATGTGACATGTTCATATTTAGTTAAAGATAATAAGTTCAGAGGTAGCACCTTGCTGACTATGAAAAAAGAGTGATTAATATGTTCTAATGCTGCTTGTGTTTGACAGTAGGTGCCTGTTTGTTTCAGGACCTAAGGGCAACGGTGGTCTGCCTGGTCTGCCTGGTCTGAAGGGAGACGCTGGTGAGGCAGCACTGCCTGGACTTCCTGGTGACCGGGGTGAAGATGGTCTACCTGGATTATCTGGCGAACGTGGACAGGATGGTGGGCTTCCAATAATTACAATCCTGTTAAAATCCATACAAACAACTTGCTAAGCTATATTCAACCCCAGATATTACAAGTGGGATATAACACACAATCTGTTATATTGTATACTGTTATAATTCCAATTAGAGAGACAATTGCTTTTATCTAAATGTGAATATAAAACTTTGATTTTTGAGGGTTCCCAGGAAATTTCTATCCAGACAATCCAAACTGATACAGAGAGACTACATAGTTTAACTGTGCGGACTTGTTTGAAGGTCTGCCTGGTCTGTCTGGAGAAAAGGGAAACCCCGGCGAGCCTGGTATCGGCCTGCCTGGCAGAGACGGTGAGCCCGGTGTGTCTGGCCGTGACGGAGAACCTGGACTCCCTGGTCTGTCAGGACCAAAGGGAAATCCTGGACCTGTAGGCTTCCCTGGCCTCAAGGGAGAGAGGGTATGCATTCCCACCATATGATAAGCTTGTATTTTCTCCTATAATATTGGTAATCGGTATATCAGCAATCTAAATCGAATATAAATGTATGTTTGTTTGTTGTTTAATGCCGTTCTCAGCACTATTCCAGCTATATGACGGCAGTCAGTAAATAATCGAGTCTGGATTGACATCATGAGCATCAATCCACGTAATAGGGATACGATGACATGCATCAACCAAGGCAGCGAGCTTGACCGGCCGATCCCATTTTTCACGTCTTATGACAAGCATAGTCACCTTTTACAGCAAGCATGGGTTGCTGAAGACCTATTTTACTCCAGATCTTCATGGGTCCCAATATTAATGACTGTAGATATAACATTAAGATGTACCAGATGAATTTCAGGTTGGAATTTGTCATTACATTTTGCAAAAGCACAGGCTCATAGATGATGCATATATCTCCACTGATAAGTGTTTCCTAACTCGTTATGATTGTATTTTGGTCATGTGTAGGGACAGCCTGGTCTTGATGGTCGCTCTGGCCAGCCTGGAAGAGATGGTCTGTCTGGAATGAAAGGTACGTCATCTACATACCATATTTTCTAGAGTATAGTGCACACTGTTTGAAAAAAACCCACAGCTGTGTGGAAAGGGCTGCGCATTACACACGCCATAATGAGTTTTGACGTTTTGAAGGGAGCCTCGATGATGACTGGTTATTATTATTTAAATATACATGTATATAGTAAATGCTGCAACTAAAATAACAAGATATTGGAATATATTATCACTGAATGGGTATGGTGTAATCTTTTTCTGCGCATAATACTCACACAAAAAAATTCTCCAAAATACTGAATCCCTTAGATTGGAATGTGCATTATGCTTGGGTGTGCACTATACTCATACGGTAAAATTCAGTAATTGTAAACATTATGTTTGAAGACAAGAAGTCTTTTTGTGTTAAGATTTTGCCCACATTTGTATAAAGACAAGGTAGTAACTTGTAATTCCTGTAATGGTTTTATCAACATTTACCTGTAAATGTTACAAATATTCTTATGATTATGTTATTGATATGATAAAGCAATCCAAAAAACAAATACATATGCTGATGAGGTTGCCAGCAGCCACTACTTTCACGTTCAATACATCATTGCAATCTTAAATTCTCAAGAAACTGTTAAGTTATGTTCCTAATATTCTTAGATGTGGGTTTCAACATGTGTCATTGAAATAGGGCAACAAATTTGGCTGCAAGTCATTTGTCACGGTAGGATAAGTTGGGCGGTTCACTAAAAAATTGTATTCATACAACGTTGTATTCATACATAATTTCTGAAGTTACTTCGTGGAGTAAAGTTACGTCTTAAACATCTATTATGTTCAGAATGAAACCATTTATGATACAGAAATTATGACCCTTTTGTGTTGCCATATCATAAATATATATTAGGAATATGAAATATGTATTATGCTCACAAAAGACTCACGTAATATGTTTTTAATTCTCAATACGAGGTATTTATGATAGAGAAACCCACATGGCTAAAAGTCTATTGATCACATCTCCGGTCTTCTTATAATTCCATAATTCTGGCGTTATACCTCAAAAAACAAATTACTTGATTTGTGACAATGTACTGACATTTTGATTGTAGGAAACTCTGGTCTTCCCGGCCTGCCTGGAGCTCCTGGTAACAAGGGAGAGTCTGGTCTGCCTGGCCTGCCAGGAACTTCTGGCCTCAAGGGTGATGGGGGTCTTGATGGGCGGCCTGGCCTGCCTGGTTTGCCTGGTCCTAAGGGAGAGAGGGGATTCAATGGACGGGATGGAGAGCCAGGTAAACACAGATGCATGTGGACTACCATTACAGTGTCACTTTGTAGTAACATGAAGTAATTACACAATGACCTATGAGCAGGGAGGACCTACCGATTATCGGACTATAAGTGCAATAATGCGACATTAAATCCAATTTCAGCTCATCTCACCTGATATCGGTTCCCAGTAAATTATTGTAATGCATTTTAACACAATCTAATGAAATTGTCCTTATATCTCCGCGGATTTAAAATGCAATCTTCATATCTGTAGCCCAGTGAGTGTACCACTAGGCTACAGAGGTGCTGATAAATCACTATGCTTTTAAGCATGTCTTTTTCAAGTACCGGTACCGTACGCCAGCAACAGATATTTTATGCCCGGTTCCTAAGGTTCATGTAAAATACATTGTATGTTTGAAACATTAACATATTGATAAGTGTTGTTTTACGTTTCTTTTTTCGGTTTATAAGTAAGAGGAAACACTTACACTCGGGTTTTTATCCTTCAGGTTCACGTTGTGTAGCATGAGATCAACATAAAACATTTGTGCTTCATGTGAAGTATGGACAGTTACCATGGTAACTCATATATCTTTTCAGGTCTTCCTGGACTTAAGGGAGATGTCGGTGACTCTGGTCTGCCTGGTCTCCCAGGTTTGTCTGGAGCTAAAGGATCACCTGGTCTGTCTGGTCTGCCCGGAGCCCCGGGTATGTGAATCTTTCTTTAGCATGGATAATGTCACAAACAGGAAAGCTCTTTGTAGTCAGTCCATTTGAGTGAGTGAGTGAGTCCTTACTGTCACCACTATTGCCATACATGTGAGTGAGTGAGTCCTTACTGTTACCACTATTGCCATACATGTGAGTGAGTGAGTGAGTCCTTACTGTCACCACTATTGCCATACATGTGAGTGAGTGAGTCCTTACTGTTACCACTATTGCCACACATGTGAATGAGTGAGTCCTTACTGTTACCACTATTGCCATACATGTGAGTGAGTGAGTCCTTACTGTTACCACTATTGCCATACATGTGAGTGAGTGAGTCTTTACTGTCACCACTATTGCCATACATGTGAGTGAGTGAGTGAGTGAGTGAGTGAGTCCTTACTGTCACCACTATTGCTATACATGTGAGTGAGTGAGTCCTTACTGTTACCACTATTGCCATACATGTGAGTGAGTGAGTCCTTACTGTCACCACTATTGCCATACATGTGAGTGAGTGAGTCCTTACTGTTACCACTATTGCCATACATGTGAGTGAGAGTCCTTACTGTTACCACTATTGCCATACATGTGAGTGAGTGAGTGAGTGAGTGAGTGAGTGAGTCCTTACTGTCACCACTATTGCCATACATGTGAGTGAGTCCTTACTGTTACCACTATTGCCATACATGTGAGTGAGTGAGTGAGTCCTTACTGTCACAACTATTGCCATACATGTGAGTGAGTGAGTCCTGAATGTTACCACTATTGCCATACATGTGAGTGAGTGAGTGAGTCCTTACTGTTACCACTATTGCCATACATGTGAGTGAGTGAGTCCTTACTGTTACCACTATTGCCATACATGTGAGTGAGTGAGTCCTTACTGTTACCACTATTGCCATACATGTGAGTGAGTGAGTGAGTGAGTCCTTACTGTCACCACTATTGCCATACATGTGAGTGAGTGAGTGAGTCCTTACTGTTACCACTATTGCCAAAAATGTGTGAGTGAGTGAGTCCTTACTGTTACCACTATTGCCATACATGTGAGTGAGTGAGTGAGTGAGTGAGTTCTTACTGTCACCACTATTGCTATACATGTGAGTGAGTCCTTACTGTTACCACTATTGCCATACATGTGAGTGAGTGAGTGAGTGAGTCCTTACTGTCACCACTATTGCCATAGATGTGTGAGTGAGTGAGTCCTTACTGTTACCACTATTGCCATACATGTGAGTGAGTGAGTCCTTACTGTCACCACTATTGCCATAGATGTGTGAGTGAGTGAGTCCTTACTGTTACCACTATTTCCATACATGTGAGTGAGGGAGTCCTTACCGTTACCACTATTGCCATACATGTGAGTGAGTGAGTGAGTCCTTACTGTTACCACTATTGCCATACATGTGAGTGAGTGAGTCCTTACTGTCACCACTATTGCTATACATGTGAGTGAGTGAGTCCTTACTGTCACTACTATTGCCATACATGTGAGTGAGTGAGTCCTTACTGTTACCACTATTGCCATACATGTGAATGAGTGAGTGACTCCTTACTGTCACCACTATTGCCATACATGTGAGTGAGTGAGTCCTGAATGTTACCACTGTTGCCATACATGTGAGTGAGTGAGTCCTTACTGTTACCACTATTGCCATACATGTGAGTGAGTGAGTGAGTGAGTCCTTACTGTCACCACTATTGCCATACATGTGAGTGAGTGAGTCCTTACTGTTACCACTATTGCCACACATGTGAGTGAGTGAGTCCTTACTGTTACCACTTTTACCATACATGTGAGTGAGTGAGTGAGTCCTTACTGTTACCACTTTTACCATACATTTGAGTGAATGAGTGAGTAAGTGATTGAGTGAGTGAGTGCCTCAGTCCTTACTGTCACAACTATTGCCATACATGTGAGTGAGTGAGTGAGTGAGTGAGTGAATACATCAGTCCTGACTGTCACCATGTTTGCCATACATTTGAGTGAGTGGACTGTAAGGCTACATTTAACAATATTCTAGCACTATCACGGCAGTCATGTGAATATGAATTGTAAACACTTACATGTAATAGCGTAATATAAGAGGTGCTGGCTTTATCAGGGTCATGCTTGCTGTAAATGGCGACTATGCTTGTCGTAATAGGCGAATAACGGGATCGGGTGGTCAGGCTCTCTGACGTGGTTGTTGCATGTCATTCCATACTAATTGTGTGGATTGATGCTCATGATATCAATCACTGGATTGTCTGGTCCAGACTAGATTATTTACAGACCGTCATCATATAGCTGTAATATTGCGGCGTTAAACAACAAACAAATATATCAGGATGATATATAATCAATCACATATAAAGTTCTTACTATGAGCAGTGTGATGACGTTACAATCTGTGCTTTCTGTGTCCAGGAGACAAGGGTGAGTCCGGATTCCCCGGTCTGGACGGACTTCCCGGTCAGTCTGGACAACCAGGAGAGAGAGGTATGTTGTACACTTCCCTCTGCCAACTTTCTAACTGCTTTATATCAGTGTTATATAGATTATTGCACTTTGAATTGTTTACTATAAAATGTTGTGATCACATTTTGTGAGTATAGACTAAATATCACCTAGGCAGACATTGGGGAACAAACCCTCACGCTTATCAGTCGATAGTACTGATAATATTTCATTCCTACATGATACTGGAAATTGACTGGTTATATTTTGATTCATGTCGACATATGTGGACTACTTTGGCTTGAACAGTAGGAATAACTGGTATATTTCAAGTTCTTGTAAATCTCATGGCAATAATTTTCCTTAAGGGAAAGTAGTTACAGTTTGTATACTTGGGACATACGACCCGTGAAGATGCGGGGTAGAATAGGTCTTCAGCAACCCATGCTTGCCCCAAACGGTGACTTTACTTGTCGTAAGAGGCGACTAACGGGATCGGGTGGTCATGCTCACTGACCTGGTTGATGCATTTCATTGGATCCCAATTGCATGGATCGATGCTCATGAGGTCAATCACTGGATTGTCTAGTCCAGACTCGATCATTTACAGACCACCATCATATGGTTGTAAAATTGCTGAGTGCGGCGTTAAACAACAAACAAACAACCAAACTTGTGACGTACATTGTAGGTTTGGATGGCCCGGCCGGCCCTCCTGGTCTTCCTGGACGCTCCACACAGGGTCTGAAGGGAGAGCCTGGACGTTTGGGAGGACCTGGCAATGATGGACGACCAGGACTCAAGGGAGATCCAGGTGAGAAAATCTTACTTTGTGTGTATATTTTGTGAATGTTTCAGTAATGTGCATGGAGTACACAGATAGATTGTATTTATCATATAATGGGTAGGTTTCTCGGCAGGATAAAGCCAACGAATAAAAACGTCATAAGTTTGGGTCATACATGGATAGAGATGCAAATGTCAATTGTTCATTATTGACTACTTTCACTGTTTATAAATATACATGGCGTCAACTTTGTCATTTGGCAATTGAAAAACTATCGGGATAATTGCTATCATTATCAAAAGAATAGTCTAATATTCTGAAGGAAGATTTGCAATGTTTAGGTAATGTTTGTGAGAGACAGGAAGAGATTTTTGAGTACAGAATTGGAGAGTGACATTATATGGTAAAGAGGTGATCACGCTTGTGTTTTTGGGGATGGTTAAGGCGAGCTGACTATTTAGTATTTATTCCAAATACAGGATATTTACCATCCCCAAAACACACTCTCGTAATAACCTTTTTTTCACCTAATATATGAAGGTTGGCGGAGAAATAGATCATGTTTCACTTAATACATGAAGGTTAGTTGGATACAGAAATGGTATGTACAAGATCTGGGGTAGAATAGGTTTTCAGCAACCCATGCTTGCCCTGAAAGGTGACTTTGCTTGTCGTAAGAGGCTACAAACGGGATCGGATGGTCAGACTCGCTGACTTGGTTGATGCATGTCATTGTATCCCAATTACGTGGATCGATGGTCATGATGTCAATCACTGGATTGTCTGGTCCAGGCTTGATTATTTACAGACTGCTTTCATATAGCTTGAATATTGCTGAGGGCGGCAAACAAACAAACAAATGTTGCAATTAGCTGCAAAATTGCTGATGCAGCATTCAGCAATAATCCCAACGCTCAGACGTTTTACACAGCAATTCTTCAGACTTGTCCAAGGATACACATGATAGGTAAAGTAACCCAATGGACCCAGGTCTTGTTATCAAGAATTTCCTCCTTTCATATTTGAATGATTTCATGACGGTCATGTAATGGATGATGTCCCTAGCTTGGTACCTGTAATGGAGGTGATGTTGAGCCAGTAGGTAGCTGACGACTTCTTATGTTGCAGGTATGCCTGGACTGGATGGTCTGCCTGGTGTGAAGGGAGATCCAGGACAATCCACCGACGGTCTTCCTGGACTTAAGGGAGAGTCTGGACTACCTGGACGATCTGGTCAGTGTTAATTAAATTATGATGTTTAAAGAGGGACTATGGTCTTCTAAGGGGCCACAATTCGCTGTGCAGAGAAACCTATGATTTTGGGTTCGAATCCTGGTTTACCCCAATTACCTTTCTAGGTTTGTCAGCACCATACCCATGCTCGTGGGTTTCACCAAAGTGGTAAATATCTGAGACCTTCATCACTTCAGGCTTTCCTCCCACATTAAGCTGACACGCTGTGATATAACTGGAAAACTGTTAAAAGAGATGTTAAAACCCAGCTCACTCACTCAAACTCACTATGACCTTTGTGAAACTGAGACATTGTCTTGGTGTCATTAGTGACCTGTGTGAAACTGAGACATTGTCTTGGTGTCATTAGTGACCTGTGTGAAACTGACACATTGTCTTGGTGTCAGTAAGTTCATCATTAACTGCTAGATTGACATACATGATAAAGTTTGAGTTTTTAGACAAACAACTTGATTTTGCTTTTGTGGACTGCCAACTGGCCTTATCATAGTACCCCTTCATTGCAACTGTGGCTTCCATTTTGTTTGAGCTGTGATTTTCCTTAAGAAAAATAGCAATAGGAAAATCATTTCATTATCTGTTTATAGGACAGACTTCCCTATAATGACCAAATTTGAAAAATAGCTTCATGACATTTTGGATGACACTCCTAGAAAATAAAAAATTATGAAACCCTGTGTTCTGTTTTGTGTTTCAACAGATTTCATTTGAAATATAAGGTGATGATTTATGATTTCTTGTTGCTGCCCAGGTCTGCCTGGAGATCGTGGTCAGTCTGGAAGTGATGGTCTGCCTGGTTTACCTGGCCTCAAGGGCGACCGTGGACAATCTGGATTCCCCGGAGAGCAAGGACGTGATGGACTTCCTGGTCTTTCTGGATCCAAGGGTACGTTTCTTCGTGGTTTTATTTTTCATATAAACGAGTATTACCTCTTTATGTCATTTGCCTTTTCTTTTGAAGATTTGAACCATTAACAGTATAGTTTTTGGACAAAATAAGTTTCAAAGTACCTAACAGGGTGGATTGATTAACTGTACTTGATACATAGGAAGCTTTAGCGGAAGGCAGATACACCATTTCATTAGGCAGCAGATTGTAAACATGATCAGTCAAGGTTTCATGTTTGGTGTGTGCCTTATCTTCCTGTACGTAATACATTGATGATATTTTGGAATATCAAATTGTAGTAAACACTTTGTAGCCTTAGTAGCTTGTGATGTTGTACATGAAGAATGTAACCATATTGAATCTCAATTGAATTCTCAATGACCTTTCATTCAGGTAACTCTGGCTTGCCTGGACTCCCTGGCATCTCCGGTCAGAAGGGAGACGGTGGTCTTCCTGGTCTTCCTGGACTCCTGGGACCAAAGGGAGAGGGTGGTCTGCCTGGTCTGTCTGGTCTGGATGGAGCACCTGGTTAGTTACTATTCATATACACTGCTGCAGTTCTCTGCCTGGTCTGTCTGGTCTGGATGGAGCACCTGGTTAGTTACTATTCATATACACTGCTGCAGTTCTCTGCCTGGTCTGTCCGGTCTGGATGGAGCACCTGGTTAGTTACTATTCATATACACTGCTGCAGTTCTCTGTCTGGTCTGTCCGGTCTGGAAGGAGCACCTGGTTAGTTACTATTCATATACACTGCTGCAGTTCTCTGCATGGTCTGTCTGGTCTGGATGGAGCACCTGGTTAGTTACTATTCATATACACTGCTGCAGTTCTCTGCCTGGTCTGGATGGAGCACCTGGTTAGTTACTATTCATATACACTGCTGCAGTTCTCTGCCTGGTCTGTCCGGTCTGGATGGAGCACCTGGTTAGTTACTATTCATATACACTGCTGCAGTTCTCTGCCTGGTCTGTCAGGTCTGGATGGAGCACCTGGTTAGTTACTATTCATATACACTGCTGCAGTTCTCTGCCTGGTCTGTCCGGTCTGGATGGAGCACCTGGTTAGTTACTATTCATATACACTGCTGCAGTTCTCTGCCTGGTCTGGATGGAGCACCTGGTTAGTTACTATTCATATACACTGCTGCAGTTCTCTGCCTGGTCTGGATGGAGCACCTGGTTAGTTACTATTCATATACACTGCTGCAGTTCTCTGTCTGGTCTGTCCGGTCTGGAAGGAGCACCTGGTTAGTTACTATTCATATACACTGCTGCAGTTCTCTGCATGGTCTGTCTGGTCTGGATGGAGCACCTGGTTAGTTACTATTCATATACACTGCTGCAGTTCTCTGCCTGGTCTGGATGGAGCACCTGGTTAGTTACTATTCATATACACTGCTGCAGTTCTCTGCCTGGTCTGTCCGGTCTGGATGGAGCACCTGGTTAGTTACTATTCATATACACTGCTGCAGTTCTCTGCCTGGTCTGTCCGGTCTGGATGGAGCACCTGGTTAGTTACTATTCATATACACTGCTGCAGTTCTCTGCCTGGTCTGTCAGGCCTGGATGGAGCACCTGGTTAGTTACTATTCATATACACTGCTGCAGTTCTCTGCCTGGTCTGTCCGGTCTGGATGGAGCACCTGGTTAGTTACTATTCATATACACTGCTGCAGTTCTCTGCCTGGTCTGTCCGGTCTGGATGGAGCACCTGGTTAGTTACTATTCATATACACTGCTGCAGTTCTCTGTCTGGTCTGTCCGGTCTGGAAGGAGCACCTGGTTAGTTACTATTCATATACACTGCTGCAGTTCTCTGCATGGTCTGTCTGGTCTGGATGGAGCACCTGGTTAGTTACTATTCATATACACTGCTGCAGTTCTCTGCCTGGTCTGGATGGAGCACCTGGTTAGTTACTATTCATATACACTGCTGCAGTTCTCTGCCTGGTCTGTCCGGTCTGGATGGAGCACCTGGTTAGTTACTATTCATATACACTGCTGCAGTTCTCTGCCTTGTCTGTCAGGTCTGGATGGAGCACCTGGTTAGTTACTATTCATATACACTGCTGCAGTTCTCTGCCTGGTCTGTCCGGTCTGGATGGAGCACCTGGTTAGTTACTATTCATATACACTGCTGCAGTTCTCTGCCTGGTCTGGATGGAGCACCTGGTTAGTTACTATTCATATACACTGCTGCAGTTCTCTGCCTGGTCTGTCCGGTCTGGATGGAGCACCTGGTTAGTTACTATTCATATACACTGCTGCAGTTCTCTGCCTGGTCTGGATGGAGCACCTGGTTAGTTACTATTCATATACACTGCTGCAGTTCTCTGCATGGTCTGTCTGGTCTGGATGGAGCACCTGGTTAGTTACTATTCATATACACTGCTGCAGTTCTCTGCCTGGTCTGGATGGAGCACCTGGTTAGTTACTATTCATATACACTGCTGCAGTTCTCTGCCTGGTCTGTCCGGTCTGGATGGAGCACCTGGTTAGTTACTATTCATATACACTGCTGCAGTTCTCTGCCTGGTCTGTCCGGTCTGGATGGAGCACCTGGTTAGTTACTATTCATATACACTGCTGCAGTTCTCTGCCTGGTCTGTCAGGCCTGGATGGAGCACCTGGTTAGTTACTATTCATATACACTGCTGCAGTTCTCTGCCTGGTCTGTCCGGTCTGGATGGAGCACCTGGTTAGTTACTATTCATATACACTGCTGCAGTTCTCTGCCTGGTCTGTCTGGTCTGGATGGAGCACCTGGTTAGTTACTATTCATATACACTGCTGCAGTTCTCTGCCTGGTCTGGATGGAGCACCTGGTTAGTTACTATTCATATACACTGCTGCAGTTCTCTGCCTGGTCTGTCCGGTCTGGATGGAGCACCTGGTTAGTTACTATTCATATACACTGCTGCAGTTCTCTGTCTGGTCTGTCCGGTCTGGATGGAGCACCTGGTTAGTTACTATTCATATACACTGCTGCAGTTCTCTGCCTGGTCTGGATGGAGCACCTGGTTAGTTACTATTCATATACACTGCTGCAGTTCTCTGCCTGGTCTGTCCGGTCTGGATGGAGCACCTGGTTAGTTACTATTCTATACACTGCTGCAGTTCTCTGCCTGGTCTGTCCGGTCTGGATGGAGCACCTGGTTAGTTACTATTCATATACACTGCTGCAGTTATATGTTATTATTAAGCTTGTTTAGTCAGTGGTGTTGATATTATGTTGATACACTTCATACACTGCAAAATATGTTAACAATGACTGAAAAGTAGTTTGTTGGAATGTCAACCCTTAACTTTAGCGTACTTTTACTTGTCCTTTTTTAGGTCAGCCTGGTGGCTTTGGTTTGAAGGGAGAGCCTGGTTTGCCCGGTGTTGTGAATTACGAACAACTTCCTAAAGGAGATCGAGGATACAAGGGAGACCCTGGTCTTAATGGTCTGCCAGGTCTGTCCGGACCCAAGGGAGAACCAGGACGCCCTGGTAAGAGAGACTGCTTGTTCTAATGTAATAGTCAAATACATATGTTATTTTGGAATAAATATTTTCTTGATTTAGTACGTTTGTGGAGGATCCTGTGGTAGGACAGGTCGTGTGAGCCCACTAAATGTTCCAGTGATCAGACTGGGTGAAGTGTCATTGTAACACAGAGTTGTGGATCCTTATATCAATCACTTGATTGTCCTGTCTAGATATTTTAGGATACAGCAGTCAAGACAAAGCTTCAGGTTATATATAGGCAGTTGTCATATAGCAGGAATATGCTGCATTAAACAACAAACAAACACACAGTTGTGAAAAAATAACATTCTTTGCTTTGGGACTAGTTTTTGATTTATTACTGATGTTTACAGCCGAGAGGAACATAAATGTTAGATGTTCCTCCTTGTGTTTTTCTCTTTGCTAAGGCAGATGCAGGTTTTTTATACATGGCACATTGCACAGAGTGGACACAAAATGCTGGGAAAGTGTTAAGACATGACATTTTTCAACAATCATTATGACCTGATTTTCAGGATCTCCTGGTATTCCTGGTGAGCCTGGTCCAAGTGGTCTGCCTGGATTCAAGGGAGAACGTGGTAACTCTGGTCTGCGAGGTCTGGATGGTCTGCCCGGTACTGCAGGAACACCAGGTAATCCTAATTACTGATGCTAGTATTGAAAACAGTGAGGTGGCAGTGTTACAATGTCTTCTCATGATGACAAAGTTCTTGCATCCTTCAATATGATATTACTGGAATATTGCTGCAAGTGGCATAAAACTGTGCTCACTCACTCACTTAAAAAGAGTGAAGTTATTTCCAGAATGTTTGTTTTATTATAGGCAACATTAACCTCGGTAGTTATCATCCAATTTTTTTGCAAAACGTGTACACTGAACAAAACAATGTCCTGAACATTTTGTGGGAAATTTATTAGTAGTGAAGACTGAGCACACTATTTCAGTGAAAATATCCACCAGGTTAATCAGGATCCCTTACTTTTTGAAAAATGATACAGAAATAAAACATTGGTACACATTGTTTGTATGGTATACCTGATTATTGTAAAACCTGAACTCTCTCGTCTGAAGGTCAGCGTGGTCCATCTGGCCAGCCTGGTGACCGGGGTCTGCCCGGCCGCTCCCCACCCACCGGCTTCCTCCTGGTGCGCCACTCCCAGTCCCAGGAAGTACCCAGCTGCCCACGTGGTCAAGCCCAGATGTGGGATGGTTACAGCTTGCTCTACATTGAAGGAAATGAAAAGTCACACCACCAAGACTTAGGTGAGACAGCTTCACAGATAGCAGAGGGTTCCTGTATCAGCTCCGGGGTAGAAAGGGCCATCTGACTTTACAGGACTTGGTGGCTACAATGTTGTGATGTGCAGATGATGCCCTCATCTGGAGCCTGTGGTGTATAAACATATACTGTCCTCTAAAATCAAATGGGAGTGTGTGCTGACGTCTGATTGGTTGAAAATCAGTGCAGGGCTTGTGTTGCGTTTTTGTTCTAAGCTATGTCCCAGATTTCTTATTGGTGTTAATGATTGCTGTTTTGCATTAATGATTAAATAAGCCGTCTGTGAAGTTATCATTGTTGACATATTTATTAAGTATTGACCTCAATCTGTTTTCGCATTTATGCCTCCATAAATGCAAAAATAGATTGACAGCAATTCTTAATCATAGGAAACTTTAGTTGATTTTTGCAGTTGATTATGTGGAGTAATGCAACCGGTAGGTGATCAGCTGTAAACAATTAAAGTTAAAAGAGCAGTTGCATGTTTGCTCGTCAGCTATATCCGGATGTACCCTATTTTCAAACAGTTATGATGGCATTGCTGATATTTCGAGGGATGAGTGAATCAAAACTCAAATTCTGGTTCATAACATTAGGTGATTTCTTTAAAGATAGAATTCAGCTACTTTCCGAAACAAAAGAAAGTCCTCGATAAATGTCATGATCTCCATTTCCCTGTCTGTAAACTTCGAAACACCTGATTGGTTTGGTACTTTAGCAGTGTTTCCACGTGTGAACAGATATGTTTTGGCTCACAGTTCTCAACATAATTACCCAGGTCGTTTTGTAAACTCAAACAGTGATTGAAAGTTTGAAACCTATTCACAAAATATGAATACTTGTCAAATTAAAGTGTTCACGCTATTCCACTCTTCCTTTTCATCATGACAAGGGCAACAAAATTCTGAATGACGACGGAATGTTCTGACATCACACCTCTCGTTACAATGTGACAAATCACTATCAATATGGCTGTTTGAAAATAGGTGTCGGTCGAAAATAGGGTACTCAACGATATATGTTATGAAAGATTCAGTCAACTGTTGATGCCCATCAATCAGAAATAAATGATTGTTTACTGACAATGAAGCTGCACTATTTGTTCAGCTACTTGGTCAGTTCAGATGAGGCCAGTCGTGATGTCTGTCACTGGATTGTCTGGTCCAGACTCGATTATTTACAGACTGCCGTATATAGCTGGAATATTGCTGAGTGCAGCGTTAAACAACAAACAAACAAACAAAGATAAGGACAGATCATTTATAAAGGTTAAGTTTCAAAAAGTGTTACTATATAGTACATTGTTTACAAACAACATATGGTCATAAGTGAAAAAATAGTTGCTTGTGCATCTTTGAGATGTTATTTCATATTTAATCCAACTATTTTGGTTATCAACTCAATGTTTTTCTTGATTTTCAGGATGGGCCGGATCCTGCATGCCTCGTTTCAGCACCATGCCTTTCTTGTTCTGCAACGTAGATAACGTTTGCAACTACGCCAGCAGAAATGACAGGTCCTACTGGCTCTCAACAACTGCCCCTATTCCCATGATGCCTGTAGCTGAGGGAGAAATCCGTCCATATATCAGTCGCTGTGTTGTGTGCGATGCTCCCGCTAATGTGATCGCCGTCCACAGTCAAACGCTTCAGATACCAGATTGTCCAAATGGATGGAATGGCCTCTGGATAGGTTACAGTTTTGCCATGGTAAGTTTATCAGTGTCCAGAAACTTATTTCTGAAAGAAATATTGCTAACTTCTTTTTCTGAACTTCTATGCCATTGATGAGACTTTTATTCAGTTATCAAACATGTACATTAGAATCAAAGTTTTATTTAAATATAATTTCTTTCCTATTCTATCCTAAGACAGCTTTAATGCACTAACCTTTAGTGGTTGATCTAATTGATAATATCATTACTAAAGAAAATAATTTCTAATGTCAGTAAATCATTATTGTCCAATATGTAGAATAGTTGAGAGTAGCTTGTAAGATTCAAATTACTAACTCATGTATGCTTCTGTATGTGTGTCGAGTATTAACACAATGTATATCCATATTGTCTATTAACACAATATATATCTGTGTCAAATATTAACACAATGTATATCTCTGTCGAGTATTAACACAATGTATATCCATGTTGTCTATTAACACAATGTATATCTCCCCCATGAAGAGCTCAACCATTCAATAAACATACACTGTATTACACATTGTGTAATCCCAAAGCATGTGCTCATGTACTGCGGAACAAGTGTCACTAACAAATATTGAAAACTCCCAACATCCCTCAGCTTATTCAATGACATTGCGCATAGTAATGATAGATCACTGAGAGGAGCTTATGCACGCTCGATGACCCCAGCAACCCTGTTGCTAGGCTGACATCACATGGCATTGTTTTGCGATGATCTTGCAATGAATCCCCCAAATTATGTCTTAGGGCATTGCGATGAGATTGTAAGCTTCGTGGTGCAGAGCCCTGCTCCAAAAGGTGATAGTAGCACAGGGACAGTCCTAAGACTATGAGTTACGTTGATAACAATAACTTTATGGAATGGACTCAAGTATTAACACAATTTATATCCATGTTAAGTGTTAAAACAATATATATCTGAGTCAAGTATTAACACAATATATATCTGTGTCATATATTAACACAATGTATATCTCTGTTGAGTACATGTATTTACACAACGATATCTGTGTTGAGTATTAACACAATGTATATCCGTGTCAAGTATTAACACAATATATATCTGTGTCAAGTATTAACACAATGTATATCCGTGTCAAGTATTAACACAATATATATCTGTGTCAAGTATTAACACAATGTATATCTGTGTCAAGTATTAACACAATGTATATCAGTGTTGAGTATTAACACAATGTATATCCGTGGTGAGTGTTAACACAATGTATATTTGTCTTGAGTATTAACACAATGTAAATCTGTGTCGAGTATTAACACAATGTATATCTGTGTTGAGTATTTACACAATGTATATCTGTTTCGAGTATTAACACAATGTATATTTGTGTCGAGTATTAACACAATGTATATATCTGTCGAGTATTAACACAATATATATCCGTGTCAAGTATTAATGCAATGTATATCCGCGTCGAGTATTTACACAATGTATATCTGTGTCGAGTATTAACACAATGTATATCCGTGTTGAGTATTAACACAATGTATATCTGTTGTTCCAGCACACAGCAGCTGGTCCTGGCGGCGGTGGCCAGTCTCTCTCCAGCCCTGGCAGTTGCCTTGAAGACTTCCGAGCCACTCCATTCATCGAATGTAACGGTGCTCGTGGCACTTGTCATTACTTTGCTAATAAATACAGCTTCTGGCTCACTACTATAGAATTAAATGAACAATTTAGTTCACCACGTTCACAAACACTTAAAGCAGGAAACCTCCGGACTAGAGTTAGTAGGTGTCAAGTTTGCATCAAAAATGTGTGAGATGGTCATAATATGGTCTCTTGTTCATAGTATTGTAAAACATGTAGGCGATATTGATGAGTCAAGAAAAGGGAAATTTTGTCTTTTGTCCTAAAGGCATGAAAAATGTGATGTTTTTGTTTGTACTATTATGGAAGTCAATTTTGATGTCTATAATTTTATAACTGACTACCAGGGCAAGCCAACTCGTGCCTTATAACTGATTCAATGGTGCTATGTTTTCTGCGGCGAAGACGTGAGAGTTTCATGCTCAAGTTTACTCTATTTTCTATTATCGCATAAGAAACCTATTTACGTCCGGGATTGCCTGAATAACTCTTTACTTGACAAGGCACAGACTTAGTGTAAGAGAGATTGGACAGGAAAGCAGTGCAAAGCACCGAAGGATGAGAAAATCTTTAACTGTACAATAACAACATTACTGATGCTCAAACTATCTGAAGGTACTCAACTGGTTGGTCAGAAACTAGCAATACTGATGTGCTTTGTCAAGTAAAGAGGTCCTATGATCCCAGCAACTGTGATTATAAAATATGTCACTGCCATCAATCATAACTTAATGTATTTCTGGATTATAGTTCCCCGTTTGCAGCATTCTTGTGATGTATTGTCAATACAGCCAAATAATAGTCATGCATTTTATACCCTACTGATGCCTTTTAAATGAAATCCGGCCAAACTGTTTTTCAGTGTTTTCTTTTAAAAACAAATTTGTCAATTGTTTTCATTGTCTGAAAAATTGAAAGCCCCTGTGAAGATGAGTTTTGTTAGATACCTCGGATCACAAAATTCCATCTGACAGGCTTCTGTCCTCTTCGGAAGCATTCTTCTGGCATAGAATACTCATGTATATAGATGACGTTTGTATGCTGGTCTTGTATGGTCGTTTCTATTGTATAGTACAGATTTGACACTCTTGTCTCTTTCTCTCCTAGTCATAGTGTTTCGTAAGTGCCAAATTTCTACCATCACAACCTCTCTGCTCTAGTAGTTCTTCTAGAGGTAATAGGCATAATGTGCAATGTTCTGAAATCAACAATTGATGAATATATGAACAAACATTTGATAAGAACAATAAAGTCTTTTACACAAATACTGCTTGGTTTTGTCTTTATTAGTATCTGGAGCTCTGGGGATAAGCAGCTACATCAGGGTCCACATGCCAGTTATGTCACAGCATGTTTGTTTTGTTTGTTTGTTTGTTTGTTGTTTAACGCTGCACTCAACAATATTCCAGCTATATGACAGCGGTCTGTAAATAATCGAGTCTGGACCAGACAATTCAGTGATTGACAGCATGTCATCGATCCACGCAATTGGGATCGATGACATGCTGTCACCAAGTCAGCGAGTCTGACCATCTGATCCCGTTAGTCGCCTTTTACGACAAGCATAGTCGCCTTTTACGGCAAGCATGGGTTGCTGAAGACCCATTCTACCCCGTGGGTCTCACAGCATGTCAACTAACTGGTGGAGGAAATCCCAAAGTCATGCAGGTCAAAGTTTAGCACTTTGGAGGTTGTTGTTGTTGTTGTTGTTTTAACACTGCACTCAGCAATATTCCAGCTATATGACCAAGGTCTGTAAATAAATCATTCTAGACCAGACGATCCATGCAATTGGGATACAATGCATCATGCATCAACCAAGTCATCGAGCCTGACCACACAATCTAGTTGCCTCTTAGGAAAAGCATATTAGCTAAAACCCATGAGCACGGTGTGGCAAAATAAAAATAAGGCCTCTGAGCCCCTATGTATCTCTACCTAAACGGTTGTGCGGTCTTGATAGGGGGTACAGTCGTTTAAGGCGCTGCAATGTCCTGTGTAGAGTAGGGTCCCGCGGATGGGCCAAAAGTGTACGATCGTGAGTTCCAGGCCGTGATTTGACCTTTGCCAAGGTGGAATCTATAAACCGTATCACATAAAGTCACTTCTCACTCACTATTTAGACAACAGTATGTTTTGTAATATTCTTTCTCAGACCAAAATTTACAAATCGAGAAAAGGTATTGAACTAGAGTAAACAACGAAGTTGACAGTATTCCAACTTATTATTTTTTATTATAATCAAGATGAACACCAAAGTATGCCAGTTATGTATAAATATCTAATTTCAATTGTGGATAGAGTTATTTGTTCTGCTTGTTTATATTAACATTGGATGAACTTTCTGACGTAAATTATAATCAGATGAGCTGTATTTAGGATATGAATAATAAGACATAATATTTAAAGTTACTGTATTTGTTGTCGTAAGAGGCGACTAAATTCGATCTAGTGTCCAGGTTCTCTGACTGGTTAATTGTGTGTCATCGTTCGCAGATGGCGCAAATCGCTGCTCATGCTGCCAACCACTGGTTTAAGGGGCACAGGCGTGATTATTTACAAGCCGCCATAATAAAGATGACTGTGGCGAAGAAAAGCATTGACACCCAAGGGGCATGTTTGCTTAGTATGACCTTGTAAACGACATACCAGTCATGTTGTCATTCAGACACATCTTCCATCAAATGACCACCTCAGTGGTCTAGTGGTAGAGCATCTGCCACGAGAACGGAAGGTCGGGTTCGATCCCCGGCCGTCATACATATTTACGTTTTGAGATGGTACTTGTTGTTACCCTGCCTGGCGCTCGGCATTGAGGGGCTAAAACAAGGAGTGGTCGGCTTGGAGTCAGTAATACTGTCATGATATCTCAGTGGACATAGACTGCATTAGTCGGGACTATAACATCCAGCCACACACACACGCTTTATAAGTGCAATAGTCTTGAACTTAAACCTCATTTCACATCAGTTTAAACAAACCTCTTCCCTCAAATGTTCTGATACAAGTTGTCTTTAATGGTTTTTTCATCGTGCAAGATTTTCGAAGTCCAATGCAACGTGTTTTTACACATGTAAAGTTGAGTTTAACAACAAATTAGTCAGGATGTGTCGGTTTCCTAACGAATATTCGATACACACTAGAAACAAACAACAACATGATTACATGATTAAGGTAATATGTGAAAATGAGGTACAACGCAGAAATTTTCCCAGACATCGTTCGTGTGTTTGTCAAGTCACAACTAAACATGACAATAAACGTACGCCAGTTTCGTGTGGATATTATATTTTAGCAAACTAAGGTGTCTGTGGAGAAGTAAAATGTGTCAGATAAACAAACAAAGCTGTCCCACCAATCCTGGTAATGACATAAATATTTGTATTGAATACGTCTCCTAGCTACATCTTGTCAGCGCCAAAATACAACACGTCGTGACTGGAGACTCTTGACTGCGACCATTAAAGATAAACAAGCTCCGTGAGTTTTAACTGTGGACGTTTACATAAGTGTTCTGTATTTGGTTATACTTCAGACAGGCTTGAGAGTGTGTGTTTTTCTATATGAAACTTTGTGTATTGATTTTACTAACACAATATTATAACTGGTTGATACGTTTACACTACACTTTATGAATGAACAAAAATGAATTTGCAACAAAATAATTTATCAAAATATTTTAATATTATTTTTCATCAACACTGTAATGTTGAGCTGAAGAAACATACCTCAGAATATTTTCTGATCGATCGACCAGGACATCACATATGCTGCATTTTTTTGCCGTCTTCAAAACAATTAACACAAGTGAACTGAACTGAACTTTATTTACTCTCACGTCGCTAGCAGCGACATTAGAGCTACAATTCAAATACTGGTTTTACACAAATGTATGTCCATAAAAACATTATCACAAACTCATAAACATAACCACATGTCAAACAAACACGAGCGACCAATCCGAAAATCCGAAGTGACCCAGAATCCGCCATTTTGTCAGAAAACTTTAGATCTGTCGGACTTTTATGAAACGGTAAATGTTTTTCAGGGCAACTTTAAGGAAAATGTTGTTTTCTGTAATATATTTTATGTGTCTTGCATTTGCCTATTAAGGATCAAAACAAAAATGACTTGTAATAGGATATTGTTTAATATGTTAGAAGTAATGCTGAAAACAATGGGCGTGATACGTCGGACATCAGGGACCCACCATTATTCTGGGGGAATGAAAGGAGGCGTTGAAGAAACAGTTTTGTCCACCATTAATGTTTACGACGTCTCGCAAGTCAAGAGAACAATTCATTGTCCTCTCCTACTTGTTGAGGCGTGGTTAATGGGATCGACAATAAGGCGCATCTGGTTGAATTGTGGCCATTATAAATGTATACTTCACAATTATTCCATTGACTGCACGGAACTTCACATGTCCATATGTATAAGTATAATGAGGATATCAATTGTATCAGATGGTCGGTCTGGTGACTTAGTCGATGGCTTCCCACCCGACGGTCTGGGACGTTGCTAATACTAATAGTAGCAATCACTTTGTGTGGTCCTGGCGGCAGTGTTATAGATGGAATATCCCTAACTGCTGCTTTAAACAACAGTCTTAAGAGCAACTTAACCACCAGACCTTCCTCCATCTAAAGGAGGTAGCAAAGTGGTCGAATTCTCCAGAGATGGTTACACTGATGATCCACACCTAGGCCAAGATAGTTTCTTAGCAATTGTGCTGCAGAAGGTTTGGCGAGTCAGTTAATGTAACGATATATCTGCAATATTTCAGCCAGAAAACATGTTTTTTCCTGCTAATCTTCCGTACCACTTTACATTCTAACTAAGACCCGGGTTCGATTCCCCACAAGGATACAATGTGTTAAGCCAATTTTTGGTGTCCCGCGCCTTGATATCGTGGAATATTGCTAAAATCGGCGTACAGCCAAACTCACTCACTATATATTGTTACCTCAGCACAATGTTGCTACTATAATGATTACGATGATACACCCTAGTTACTGTGTACCTATCATTTCAATTACAGTAAACTACGTTTATAACGAACACGCTTATAACGAACTGACCGATATAACGAACTTAATTTTTAGTCCCGACCATTTGTTGTATATATGCTGTATGTATGCTTATAACGAACTACGGTTTTTACGAACTAAAATTAGAGTCCCCTCGAGTTCGTTATAACCGTAGTTTACTGTATATGGCTAACATATATGTTTTCTTTGAAAGGTTGACAGTCAGTCACGCAATGTTTGTTTGTTGTTTAACGCGTCACTCAGCAATTTCCCAGCTATATGACGGCTGTCTGTAAATAATTGAGTCTGGATCAGACTATTCAGTGATTGACCCAAAGAATCAGTCCACACACTTTGGATAAAATGACAAGCCATCAACCAAGTCAACAATCCTGACCGTCCGATCCACTGAGTCGCCTCTTACGAAAAATATAAGTTGTTATATAATGTATATTTAGGGACCTGTGTTATTACCGGGAATCCCCAGGGGTCACTCAATGTAAGCAAACATACAACGAATAGTCCTGACATAGAAATGACGTGAAGAATTCAAACCTGACAATACAATAGGATCAAAGAACAAGATCGTCTTCCACGTACCAATACACATTTGATAACCCTATAGCGACTATATCCATTAACTCGAGTTCAACTAGCCCGCTTCGGTTAGTTGGCCAGAGGATTCCATTCGACTCAAACACCACTCGCGAGCACCCAGCTGGGTTGAACCACCATGACGCGTTTCCGATAGTGGCACAACCGTTGACGTCATTGTCATAAGTGCCAAAACGGGCCCCATTGAGGTTCTTGGCAGGATCGCCCGCGCCACCAAACCCATCGAGATAGTCACCGATCTTGGATTCATCAGAGTAATCCCAGTGCCATGCATAGCCTGCTTCTTCTGAGTCCACTCGAAAGTTTTTATACCAGACCCGTCCCACATTGCCATCACGAACCGATAAGATAACAAACATATCGTATCTGCCCTGTTTTGTTAACTGGTGGAGGTTTTCAAGGCCGATAAAGTAAAAATCCGGGACGTGATTTGGCGTGCCCATTTTCATTTGCTTCCATGTCACTTTAAAATTAGAAGTATACATGAAGAAAACTTCCAGCACGTGCATAAATCTTGAAGCTTCAGCATAGCATTTCCACTTAAACACATAGTCGGATCCCAAAGGCTGCATGTGGTATTCAGCACGTACGCCCGGTGATTCCATGCAATCTGCATTGTAAA